CCGATCTCAGCTGCAACTGGTGCTCTCGGGTGAACTTGAACTGGGATATCATGAGCCGGGACGTGGCGTTCACGTTCGGTCAACGACTTGGGACAGGAAAAGACGGCCAAGGATCGGGGATGGGGATCAGAGATACAACATGTCAACGCTCATCATGGCACCTGGGTTACATGAGGGATCATGATTTGACCTGTTTTGACTAGCACCAACGGCGTCCATCGCCCTCCCCGCTTCCAATCCAATGATTTGAATCCATGATGCTCCGTGAAAGAGAATTAACAAGCATAAGTACTAGTTGCAGGGTCCTTTTGCAAGGTACGGGCCTGGCACAACTTACACACGTGCTATAGTCCTCCATCATGAGGCGCCAATCCCTTCCGTGATGCAACACAACAGATGCACTTTTTTCATCCCAACACACTGGATCTGCCCGTACTCTCTCTCGCCGATCTAAACCTGTCTCGGGTGTTTGTCCTGGCCGTTTCCTAAGCTTAATTGGCCAGATGCAATGCGACGTTAGGCCAAGATCAGTTCATCATAAGTCTCCTCAGCTTGTCCCACAGAGGAAGGCCAATTGTCTATCCGCGGCATGGGATAGCTTCTAGGGGACGAATTTGTCTTCCGAGAGGCAGCTATCCACGTGGGATCGGCGCAGACGGTTATAAAGCATGATGCCCTCTCTGAAAGTTTAACTTATCGAGCTCCCCTCTCAAGCTGCCTCAGCTCGCGCCAACCACCAGCTTCCGCTTCTCATTCTTGGAAATTGGGTTCAGATTCACCAGAATGGTCAAAATCAATGCCATTGCCGCTCTTGCGGCCTCAATTGCTGCTGTATCTGCTCAGACTTACCAGCGCCTCGGCACATGTCCCACTCTGGGCTGTGTTCTTCCCCCCGACCAGAGTGATTTCCTGCCCGGCCAGCTCTTCGATCTCCGTGTCGAAGTCCACGCTCCCGTGAACGGCTCCGAGGCTGCTCACAACGGAAAGCCCGATGAGAAGTTCACCGTGACCATCGCCAAGAAGGGCGAGAAGGCCAAGGACTTTGCAAAGGCCTTTGGCGTCAGTGAGCCCAAGCTCGAGACATGGAAGTTCAAGTGGTACGAGGATCTGTTTGCCGAAGACGAGGACAAGCCCAGCATTGTCAACGTTGCTTCCAAGGTCTACCGCAAGATTGCCCTCTACGAGCCCGGCACGTACACCGTTACCCTGAACTACTACAACGGCGAGAAGACCACTGCCGAGTGGACTGTTCGCGAGCTTCAGCCTAAGCGAAAGGCCAAGAACGTCATCTTCTTCATTGGTGATGGCATGACCACCAACATGGTAAGTCGAATCACAATGTGAGAGGCTCGTGGAAGCTAACTAGTTCCATAGATCACTGCCGCTCGTCTCTTGGGACACAAGAGCATCAACGGAAAGTACCAGACTCTAATGAAGCTGGACGAGTTCCCCGTTCTCGGTCACCAGATGACCCATTCGATCGACAGCTACATCACCGACTCTGCCAACTCTGCCTCTGCTCTTTACACTGGCCACAAGAGCACTGTCAACGCCATGGGGTAAGTAAACTACCTCACCACTTGAGATTAAAAGCTAATATGTCAGTGTCTATGCTGATTCCTCTCCCAACCCCTTCGATGACCCCAAGGTCGAGACCATTGTTGAGGTCTTCAAGCGTGTCTGGGTAAGCTTAACCCCAATTGAGTTCACTTCAAAATTCTAATGACAACAGGGCGGTGCTTGGGGTGCTGTTTCTACCGCTTTCCTTGCCGATGCTACCCCCATTGCTCTCAGTGGTCACACCCGTCTCCGAGGCCAGTATGGTCCTTTGATCGACCAGGCTCTCAACGGCATGACCAACTACAGCTGGACCCAGCACGGTGGCCCTGATGTTTTCTTCGGTGGCGGTGCCGAGAACTTCTTCGCTGGTAAGGGCTCTTACCAGGGCAAGGACTACTACAAGGAGTTCCAGAAGAAGGGCTACACCGTCTCTCTCAACAAGACCTCTCTCCTCAAGGCGGACAAGAGCAAGCGTGCTCTCGGTGTTTTCTGCCAGAGCAACCTCCCCGTCTGGCTCGACCGCAACGTCTACAAGGACAACCTCGAGGGCCGCGAGAACAACCCTACCGGCGGTAAGGGTGATGCTTCTGATCTCCCTGGCCTCAAGGACATGACCCTCAAGGCCATTGACGTTCTTGCTACCCGTGGCAAGGACAAGGGTTTCTTCCTCATGTCTGAGGCTGCCTCTATCGATAAGCAGATGCACGCTCTTGACTACGACCGTGCTCTCGGTGATCTTCTTGAGCTTGACGACACTGTCCGTGCTACTGTTGAGAAGCTCAAGAAGCTCAAGATCCTTGATGAGACCCTCATCGTCGTCTCTGCTGATCACGGCCACGGTTTCGAGTAAGTAATCATATTCCAATAGCTTTCACATCAGATAACTAACAGCCGCAGCGTTTACGGTTCCGCCGACACTGAGTACCTTGCCCAACAGGAGGATGACCGTGACAAGCGCCGTGCCATCGGCACCTACGCTCAGTCCGGCGAGTCTCAGTACACCAAGAAGGCCAAGGGCATCAACTACGGCACTGGCGCCAACTTCCCTACCAACTGGGAGCCCCGATACGCCATCGCTGCTGGTGTCGCTGCCGTCCCTGACCACCGTGAGGACTACAAGGTCAAGAAGGCCGGTCCCCGCGAGGCTGCCGTCGAGCTCAAGGACGATGACTATTACGCCAACCCCGAGGACTCTCCCAAGGGTTTCCTCATCAATGGTACTATCAGCACCGATAACGCCCAGGGTGTTCACTCTCTCACCGATGTCCCTGTCTATGCTCTTGGTCCTTGCCAGGAGACGTTCAGTGGCACTTTCAACAACGTTGACATCTTTTACAAGATTGCCAACTGCCTTGGTCTTGCTCAGGGCAAGAAGCAGGGTTATTAGAAAATTATTAATCTGCGGCGGCGGTGGGCTTACGACGAGATGAACGAGTGATGTATAAGTTGGTAGATGATAGAGATGCAAGTGCTGCGAGGTGTAATAAGAGGAACTTTTGACCAATGAGCAATACACATTTGAATATTCACAGGTTCTTATTCATTCGCATTTTGTATGCGAGCATATCTGGTTGTTAATTGTTACAGATTTCTTGTGATCTGCCTCGGGCCATCCCACTTTGACTCCATGGGTTTCCTTGCTGATAGCGAATTCCGAGGCAATTCCAGACTTTTTCTAAGTCGTCACTCATAAATCATAAATTCATAACCGTTTCCTTCCATAACATTTCCCATATGATACACGTGCGATATGACCTGGCGTTCGTCAAACTTCGAATGCACCCTAGTCAGTAGAAGATCTGCTTGCCGATGTCATGAGGGGATAACTAGTCCGTAGTTTGAAGGCCAAGCTGATCAATCAGCGACATGACGCCGTTCATATCGGTAGTCTCTGGATCATCATGATCTCTGGGACGAAGACAATCGCCGTTCAGCCAGATGGAGAGACGATCATGGTTGTGAGCACGCTTTCGAAGCTTCTGGATCTCAGGGCAGCAAACTCCCCCAGCGACAATTAGTTGGATGTTCGTGGTATGATGGCACATGGCATCTAGCCGCTCAACGTGGTTGGAGAAGAGACCTGGCCCTCCAGCTGTCATGATGCCTGCAAAACCAAGAGTGATGAGCTCTGCAATGACAGCTTCTGAGTTTCCACGCTCAGCGAAGTGGTCAAAAGCACGGTTGAAGACACAACCAAATGGCTTGGCCATGTTGATGAGATAGCGACAGTATGCTGAATCAATCGCAATTTCGTCGCGAGAGTTCTGTGTCGTTTCCTCATGGCTACACCTGACACATCCAAACACGAAGGAATCTCCGCGGATAGCATTCATGACGCCTGTTTCCTTGAGCTGGCGAATAGACTCGCTCATCTGGACGAGTTCATGGTTGGAGTAAACGTAGTCGTGAGACTCGCCAGGAGTAGAAGGGTCAGGAGCTCCACGGGGTCGAATGACGCAGCTGATTGGGATGTGGATCTTGCTTTTGAGATGACGAAGCTCCTGGGTGGTGGGAGTAAGTCCGCCTACGGTGGAGGAGCCCTTTCGGCAGAGGAGAAGACGCTTTGCACCAAAGTTGGCGGCTTTGAGAGCGTTGTGGAGGCCATAGACTGTGACCTCAAGAGGGATCTGTCGTGGGTATTTAGCTGGCATAGGAGGCATCGTGAATCAATTGAGATGGTTGGTTGATGTTGATTTGAGGACACTCTCAGATGGAGATGGATGAGAAGCGAGAGTTTGTGATGTTGTCAAGATGAAGCCCGAGGACGATATTGGTGAAGAAGAGAAGGAGTCATATTGATCAGCTGAGAGTGTTCGCTTATAAGGTGATGATGATGCCATTGCAAACTCCCTCTTTCAGCAGTGAAGCACAGCTCATACCGGAGTTGATAGTGACTGCCATGTTGATAATCGAACGAGATGTTAATATTAAGCGGTTTTTTTGTTTTGCCAATGCCCGCCCAGCAAAGGCGCGTACACGCAGATTAATTCATCGCCAAGCTCTCAGTGCCTTATTTGATACTATTTCAGAATATAGGCTTCTACCAGATGGCGCCCGTGATAAATTCGTTGGTGTTGACGTTGCCTTGCCAAAGCCCGTTTGCTCAGACCTCGCCTCATCCCACCACGGTACGTAAATGGAAATCAATTAAACGCCCCTCGGCCAAGGATACCCCGCTAAGATTGCACCGCAGTGGAGCATCTAACCCCTGTAAAGAATCACAGAGCTTCTATTTACAGTGGAGCAGGGCAACAACTGGACCACTAATGCCAGGCGTTTCTGCAATGCTTTTAGGGGACCTGCAGAGGCAAAAAAAATTACCGTGAAAAAAACAGGGGTCCTTCGGCGCGGGAGCCAATGACATCAGCGAGAACCCCACCTCAAGAAAAAAAAAATGTTGATTTTCACCGCTGAGGAGCTTTCATAGCTTAAGATGAGATTTTTTTTAATGGGTGCGGGCAGAGCTTTTAGTAAATAAATAAAGCACCTCTACACCGATCTTCCTCGTCCCTCTCTCCTCTTTCACATCTTTCACATCTTTCTCTTTTTTTGTCCTTTTATACTCTACAAGATACCCCTCAGTTTCTCTCGTTATATCGAGTGATTTGAATGCATCCTGATTCTTTCAAGTTAAAGTTCAAAATGTCTGCCGGAGATATGCACGACGAGCAGGTCAAGGAGGCCCTCATCACCTATGAGAAGCTCCAGGCCATCGAGGATGACTTTGAGGATGTTGAGCTCGAGATCCGTAAGTCAATTCTCACCTTTGTCTCACAGAAACTCTACTAACAGCAGCAGTCCGTCAGCAGGATAAGCTCACCAAGGACCTCTACGTCAAGCGTCAAGAGGTCATCGCCAACATCCCCCAGTTCTGGCCCCTCGTTTTCGAGCAGTCCCCTCCCGAGGTCGATGAGTACATCCAGCCCAGCGACTCCGAGCTCCTCCTCAACGCCCTGACCGGCCTCTCCGTTGAGCGCTTCGAGCTCCCTAACGGTGACCCTCGCTCCATCTCCCTCAAGTGGGAGTTCAAGGAGAACGACTGGTTCGAGGACAAGGTTCTCGAGAAGAAGTTCTACTGGCGCTTCCACAAGGACGGCTGGGCCGGTCTCGTCTCCGAGCCCGTCGACATCAAGTGGAAGGAGGGCAAGGATCTGACCAACGGCATGCTCAGCCTCGCCAAGAAGGTCTACGATGAGGAGAAGGCTGGCAAGAAGCTCGGTGAGACCGAGGCCTCCAAGAAGCTCCACAAGCTCATGGAGGAGACTGGCATGGGAGGTGTCAGCTTCTTCTGCTGGTTCGGCTTCCGCGGCCGCAAGGTCAGCCCCGAGGAGTCTGAGGAGGGCCGCAAGCTCGAGGAGGAGAAGCGCAAGGCCCGCAAGGAGGGCAAGTACGATGAGGATGATGATGACATGGACGAGGACGACGATGATGATGAGTACGAGTATGAGATCTTCCCCACCGCCGATGATCTCGCCGTCTTCATCGCCGAGGATCTGTGGCCCGGTGCCATCAAGTACTTCAGTATGTACCTCTCACAGCGCGAAGCAGAGACAGTTCAGGTTTAACAAGCAATACTAGCCAACGCCCAGGAGGCCGATGATATGCCCAGCGACCTCGAGTTCGAGGAGATGGACGAAGATGACTCTGATGACGATGAGGCCCCTGCCCTGAAGAAGCGTAAGGCCTAAACCGTCCAATGATTTTTTGTTTTTGTTTTCATGATGATCTAATTTTTCTCTTGGTAAAGAATAGACTAAGGCACGCGGATGAAATGATGGCTATGAAAAACGGTTATGGGATCAGGAAAATGGGATGGATCTACCGATTGGGTTTTCGGTAGATAATGAAATAAAAGGATCGAATTTATCAGCAGTTTCTTAGGTCTTCATGCGATACTATGATGGAGTGAAATGATGTCACACACTGCTGTATATTACTTTGCCATGGTCTAACTTGAGACTCTCAAGGGACGGCCTGATCAGTAAAAGACATCAATATTCTTCACACTTTGTAAAGCATGATTCTGGATAACTTGGCTTATGCAAAAACGAATGAATCTCATCAGACGGTTGATTCTACTGATTAATTGGTGATGTCTCTCTCTTGACAGGTCGTAAAAAGAGCGGGGCATGACACCCTCTGATGATGTCAAGTGATGGAAATCCGGGGTAGCTTCCTCTTTGCAGCTGTTGATGTTATAAACGGGAGATAAATAAACACGATACTACGTCAATCCAGCAAATGATTCCAAAGAGTTACTAATTCGGACTTGCCTAAGAACTCCCCGCTCGAAGTCAAAGTGCGAGATCCGAGATCTGATTATCTCGGGTTGGTCTTCATTTGTCAGCCCACCTTGTTTGTACGTGATATCATCGTCACCCAAGTGCACATCACATATTGTGACATTTCAAAAAGGCTACGTTTCTCTGTGCCGTTTGCAGCCACATTCAAATACCTTGTGGTTCCCCTCATGTTGACGAGATCGAGTTTGAGAGTCTTTGCTAGACCTACGACAAGAATACGATACTCAACAATGGCGACTCCTTTCAAGATTCAGCTGGAACCCCAGAACTCGGGGCTGTTAGGGATGAAGCTTGGCCAGAGTGAGGCCTCAAAGGCAACTGACCTGCTGCAGAAAGATTTAGAGGTATGGCGGCCTGAGTTCAAAACTACTGTGTACCAAGTCAAAGACTAATACTGATCAGAATCATCATGTCTTCTTCAATGAATCTGGTTTTCATGACCATGTAGATTCCACTCATAAAGCTGTCTCATACTTCGCTAACGACATTAGATTGTTCATCAAGTCTTAACTTTGTACGGTACCGGCGCAACAACAAAGGATCTAGACACAGCCTATGATGCTAACAAGGCATATCAACTTAAAGCCATGAAACCAAAGTCCGATGTCGTTGATAAACTGGAACACGGCTCAGACTGGTCAGAATATCTTGGCAAAGGTCGAAACTATGCTACATTCTTTCGTTTCTTCCAGGACGAAATCGAAAGAATCGGATGGCAGGACACACTCAAGGAGTATCTCTTCAAAGACGATGCACGAGGTCGCGACATGCAAAGCCGTCTATTTGCCGGTATCCTTCACCCACTTATTCAGTTGCTGTATGGCATGGAGTGGTCACAGCCCATGATCATCGCTTCAGCTCTTGCACAGACTGCCGTTCATCGAGACGACTATAAAGAGTTTCTCACAGCCGCTGCTGAAAAGGCTCAAGCTTCCGACGCGCCACCGAAGATGAAGACCATCGGTGGCCTTTACGAAGATGCTGTCAAGAATGAGAAACTTCGAAAAAGCTCGCATTGGGATGATTCCAATCGGATCTTTGATGGTGTGTTTACGAGGGCGAAGGATGAGATGATCACTTTGGCTGCGAGAGTGAGAATTGGTGAGGAGGAGCTGGACGAAAAGATTGCCGAGATGGTGCATCATTCTGCTTTCGTTGCTTCAGCTGCTGCTTTTCATCCACCTCATGCTCCAAGATTCGAATTTATTCTCATGTAAGTCTCTCATTTCCACTTTCACCTCGTTTCTTAACAGAGTAGGCATCACATAACATCCACGCCCTTCTTCCTTACACTGAAAGAACAGTCCTGGATTCCAGTATCAACCAAGGCGCGCTTCTTGGAGAACAAGGTCCGCATGGATCTCCTGCAGTACATCGCTCGTGGCTCGCCAGCTCTTCGTAGCGATTTGCTTCGTGGCTATGAGCCTAAGGATGGAGAAAAGCTGGTGGGTAAGCCAGAAGATTTGTTCCCGAGGATTCACAAGGTTGTGGATGATGGGCACACTGTCAAGTTAGCCAGGGCATTGATGCTGGCGCAAAGAATTACAAAACCGTATGAGAACAAGGAGTGGGTGAAGATCAAGGGAGATGACGAGTGGTTGAGGGCTGTGTACTTGTTGCTGGATGCCAATGAGGAAGCTGATAGGCAGGGAGGTACTATGTGGGTTAGATCTTGCGGGTTCGATGAAGCTTGGGAGGAGATTCCCAAGGCTAAGATGTAAGACAACCGGAAGGATAGGCTTGTATGATATGCATGGGTATTATGAATCGTATTTACCGTCTATTCTAAACCAATCCATTCATCAGATCCCGCCTCAGACTGCTCATCTCCATCAACATCCATAAGCTTCACATCCACAGTTTTGCCACTTTCCAATGTCTTGACATCCTTCTTTCCAGACTTATCCTCCGCTTGGCCCAACAAATAATCAACCATGTACACGTTTTCGTCAGCAAGTCTCCTAATCTCATCCCTCATCTTGGATACAGCTCGCGCAACGACTCTTAGCTCGATATCGGCCTTGGCACGGTTTGCCGAGAGCCAAGCTCCGTGCTTATCAACGATAGCCTTGATCCAGACGAGGCAGAACTCGATGTGGGGTGACTCCTCGGTCTGGGCGGCGACGAAGCGGAGAAGACGAGAAACATAAACAGTAGGGAGGTCGGCAACCACGAGAGGAATTTCGGCGGAGGGGATGGCTTGGAAGACTCGCTTGATCAGACCAGCTTCGTTGAGGCGGAAGGCCATGACAAGTGCCTTGAGGTAATCTTGCTCTGTCTCGAGAACAGCGAGTGTTGAGGCAGGGGTGATCTCCATGTTCAGGTCGAAAGGATCGAACTGGATATCCTGATCCAAGCTGTAGATCAAGAGACCCTCTGTAGAGGCAGCACAGAAAGCAGTGCCAGCAGGTGAGAAACCAATGCCTGTCACACGCACCTCAGGGGCCTTCCTTCGTGCTGAAGGATCACCACGTTTTGATCCTGGCAACGAGCTATCCACGCGGTCTTCGCGGTCCGAGGCTTCCTGATCGTCGAGGTCTCCAGCAGGGCCGGCTTCAGTCAACAACTTGCTGTTCAGGAATTCCTGGGTACCAGAGAGAGAAAGGTTGACGCTGACGGTGTACTTCTTCAGCAGCACCATGGTTGTCACGGAGTACAAACAGATGTACTTGCTGTTTCCGCCAGCCAAGAGACAGCTGCCATCAGCGCTATATCGGATTGTGTTGAAGCTCTTTGTGCCGGCCATATTTGCCGCTGTTCGACGATCTGTGAGTTTTCGTCCTCCTGAAACATCTCTTCGTCCATCGACTCCAGAAGTCTGCTCTGCATCTGTTACTGACCAGAAAGTAAGCTGGCCATCTAATGTTGAGATGGCAAGTTGCAAAGAATCTGGACGGACAGCGATATCGAGAACATCAGCCTGGAGCTGCAGAGGCTCGCTGGTCTGTGTCCGGCTGAAGATGGACCAGATACGGGCTGTGCGATCCCAGGAACCACTGATAAGTGAGTCACCATTGGGTGTGAATGCGAGAGACGAGACAGGACCCTCGTGGCCTGATAACTGGTCAAGAAGTTGGCCTGTCTGGACGGACCAAATGTGAATGTCGAAGGAATCGAGAGATCCAGCGGCTACGACTTCGCCACTAGGGTCAACAGCCATGCATGAGAATGACAGTCTTGTAGGTGCTGTGAAAGTTCGGAAGTTTCGGTATCGGATCAAGTCCCAGGCTCGAATGGATCCATCCAGACTTGATGTGAAGAGAACATTACCCTTCTTGGCAAACTCGCAGGCTGTAACGCCGCTAGTATGCTCAGTGAAGGTAACTATACAGAAGCCTGACTGAATATCCCAGACCTTAATCTTTCCGTCATCTGCAGTGGTGATGATGCGCTGGCCGTCAGGTGAATAGACCAGAGCGTTCATGGCGTCGAAATGGCCCTGCTGTTTAAGGATGTAAGACTCAGACTGCCACTCCCATACCAGTAATTGCCCCAGCTTAGATGCACCAAACGCCAACCACTCGCCACTTTTGTTGATGGTGACAAAATCTATATCGTTTTGCGAGATGCTCAGCTTGTGTATCATGTTAAAGTCAGGCATCTCGTACAGGCCAAACAGACCGTTGGAGAAACCAGCAACCAGGAGATTCGTCTCAGGGTGGAAAGCGGCACATCGCACATGAGCGCTTCCCTGCATGAAGTAGTGCCGTTGGACAATGCGCCATCGCATATCTGAATCCTCATCATCGTCCTCCATCTTGTCGTCGTCCTTGATACGGTTGATAGGCTTAACATATTGCCAGTCAAAGACGGCGCCATCCTTGCTAACAGTGTAAATCATCTCCTGGTTTTCTGAGAACCAAGCGCCGATGACAGCCTGTTTATGGCCTGAAAGCACCGTGGGGGTGAAACCCTCCTCAGGGTTCAAACTCCATATCCGCGCCGTGAGATCCTTGGAGGTTGTGAGGAAGAATCGCGAGTCGCTGGACCACTCAATATGGCTAACGGTATCGAAATGGCCGGTATGTGTGTGGTATCGAACGAAAGGAGCAAATTCGAGTTCACCCTCGGCAGAAGCATCGGGGGTCGAGGGAACGTGCCAGACCTCAATTTTGCGACCCAGTCCCACGGCGAAATGTCGACCAGATGGCGAGAATGAAAGTGCTGTGACAGGAGATCGGAAGGAGAAGTGGTATATGGATATCCTTCGGGGGACATTGGTCAAGATCGCGTGTCCATCTTCGTCAATGGAGAGGAGAAGGTTGCCGCGTGGTGTAAGTCCGATGCGGGCAATGTTTTTGCGGTGAGCGAACGGGAGGGTGTATGATTTGTTTCTGTGTAACAATTAGTTTTGGCCCATTCATTTTGAAGTTCAGACCGGCTTAAGGTAACTTACTCTACCAGATTAAAGACAGTCACTCTGTTGCCGACCGGCGAGAAAAGATGGGTGCCATCGGGGCTATAGAGCAGGTTGCCCTGGCAGTAAACAGTGCCCAGCAAGTTCGAGAACTATAGTGATAAGTCAACACATCTTATCGAGGCCGGAAGCATCTCATTGTCATCCTTACCTTGAAATCGGTCTTCATTATTGTCTGCAGGTCATAGCCATGATGCTTCTAAACATCAAATCGCAAACCCGCCAAAAATTCATCGTTGCGCCTTATCGATAAGAGCCGATTTTTTGCGACAGTCGGCGGTAGAGTTATTCCGAGACGATGATGTGCCACCAGAAGTGTGGCTGGCCCCTGGGGGCAAAGCAAGAAAACTTCTGATGTTAAACCAAAGCGCCAAAAATACCTAATCTACAGCCCACTAAATGTATACTAAATTTTACTAAATTTTACCCAAGTCTTTTTGTCACTTAGGATAAATGTCCTAAGTTTTCTTTCCTCCCCTTGGCTGGCCAAAGCTCCAGGGACCAATGCAGGCTAGGGGCAGAGGCTGTTTACTCGATCTTGCATAGCAAGACCCGTTTTGTTTGGCAGTTTCCCTTGCTGCCCCGTGTCCACTGTCCACTCACGGTACCGTGTCAACGCTAGCCTATCAGAAGCAAGCGTCCCTGGGAGTTGCTTTTAGGGGGAAAGGGCAGGAAATTCGTTCCAATTCCCCTGAACTCAGGCAAGCACGAGCTGTCCCTAAACCTCCCTCTCCACCTTGAACATTTGCACTCGTTCGACCTTCATCGCGATATCGCAGTCGCTTGTTGTCTTGCATTGCATTGTCTTTGTTTTAAAGTCGTGTTTTACGCTTCAGATCCTCTTCTAATTCAACCTTTATCTTCCCGTACCCAAATCAACAACTTCAAGATGGCTTCTGCAACTGCCGAGAACGCTTCACCGATTGGTATTGCCAATCTGCCCAACCAGCGACACAAAATTGTCGCGAAGCGCGGTGCCGGTTTCACTATTATGGTATGCTTCTAAGCAATCAACTCACTCGTTTTTCATTGCTATACATACATAGCAAGGCACATCGAGATCTTCTGAACTATTGCTCACCGCATCATGTCTAGGTTGCTGGCGAGTCTGGTCTGGGCAAGACTACCTTCATCAACACTCTTTTCTCCACCACCATCAAGAACTATGCCGACCACAAGCGCCGTCACCAGAAGCAGGTTGACAAGACTGTCGAGATCGAGATCACCAAGGCCGAGCTCGAGGAGAAGTTCTTCAAGGGTATAGCTCTGAATGAAGCACGTTGTTGCCCAACCCTCGCTAACACCCCCTTTCAGTCCGACTGACCGTCATCGACACACCCGGATTCGGCGATTACGTTAACAACCGCGATTCTTGGATGCCCATTATCGAGTTCCTCGACGACCAGCACGAGTCTTACATGCTTCAGGAGCAACAGCCCCGCCGCCAGGACAAGATCGACCTCCGTGTCCATGCCTGCCTTTACTTCATCCGCCCTACCGGCCACACCCTCAAGCCTCTCGATATTGAGGTCATGAAGCGTCTCTGCTCGCGTGTCAACCTTATCCCCGTTATTGCCAAGGCCGACACCCTCAGCCCCGCCGACTTGGCCAAGTTCAAGCAGCGCGTAAGTAATCATGCATTGAGTTCACAACCCCCAATTCTAACTCTATCTAGATTGTCTCTGTCATTGAAGCCCAGAACATCAAGATCTACCAGCCCCCGATCGAGGAGGACGATGAGGCTGCCGCTCAGCATGCCCGCAGCCTTATGAACGCCATGCCTTTCGCTGTTATCGGCTCCGAGAAGGACGTCAAGACCGGTGATGGCCGCATTGTCAAGGGCCGACAGTACTCTTGGGGTGTTGCCGAGGTTGAGAATGAGGACCACTGCGATTTCAAGAAGCTCCGCTCTATCCTGATCCGAACACACATGCTCGACCTTATTCACACCACCGAGGAGTTGCACTACGAGGCTTACCGCGCTCAACAGATGGAGACCCGCAAGTTCGGCGAGGCTCGTCCCCGAAAGCTCGACAACCCCAAGTTCAAGGAAGAGGAGGAGGCTCTCCGAAAGCGTTTCACCGAGCAGGTCAAGATCGAGGAGCAGCGTTTCCGTCAATGGGAGCAGAAGCTCATCTCCGAGCGCGACCGTCTCAACAAGGATCTCGAGCAAACCCATGCTCAGATCAAGCAGCTCGAGCAAGAGCTGGAGCAGATGCAGGGCAGTGCCGTCCGCAGCCACGGCCGCCGCTAAACGATTTCGAGCAGGCCTTTATGCACACTTGCATGGCTGCAGTTGGACAGTCGTTTCTTCAAGTTTCTTTTACCTGGAGCTCCGTTTTGGGGTTTGGAGTTGAAAAATGAAAGGTCTGAAGAATACCACAAGAAGACAGGAGAGGGACCACGAGTTCATGGATATACCTGCTCGCTCTTCCCTACGGAGGTCAAGGGGGAGCTGCCCTTGCTGGGACTTGTTATCATGGCCGCGGCATGTTGTGTAGGAGTTATGATTCCCTCCCCATGATTTTGTTTGTTCTTGGTTGCTATGCCGGCAACTCATACCCACAAGTACGAGACGCCTTTGAAGCGAACAAGACGTATGGAGAAAGCCTTGATAGTCTTGCCCTTTTTTTATTACAACCTTTTACTAGAGCCCTTTCTCTCAGCTAGGCACATTTTAGTTTCGATGTAATTTCAATCACAACATTTTATGATACCAGTTTGAGATTCGAAGGTTTCAATCCATTGCATAACACCTCTGGTTGCTATTCAATATTCCATGAAATGTTGCAAGAGTCCCATTAACCAAATGTGAACCGGGGAAAACAGCCACCAAACTCCATGCTCTAGGCCAAACTGACCAAATTCATACCCAAAAAGAAATACAGTGTCCTCTGAGTACAATATTGAAATCACTACAGGTTTGAAGTCAATCTCAGTCTTTCCGTCTAGGATATTACCCCAGACCCCCAGTGCTATAAGGCGTCCATGCTGGCTCGTGTTGTCAGTTGCTCGTTTTTATTTCCAAGTCGCGAAATCTGCAGGAAGACATCCGTTCCGTAGCCCTCGAGGCTATGCAAGTCAAGATTTCCAGCCCAATACTCAGCATAGACACGGCTCAGAGGTAAACCCATGCCGAGACGCAGGTTGGGCGGCCGACTGGTGAGAGACGATAATGAACTTTGATAAGGCGGTGCTTTCAAATCTGCACGCCCCAATTCCTCCTCTACGTGAAGCTCCTGCATCGTTGCTGCCATCTTCGGCACCTGCGCAAGATTCTCGAGACGTCTTTGGCTTTGCGGACCCTTGCTGAAAGACCAGAGATGTGGCAGTTCAGCACGAGGGATACCACCACCACGATCGCATATGCGGATGATAACATGTTGCTGGTTCTCGCAGATGGTTATCTCCACAGGGGGCGGCTTCACACTGTCAGGGTCCGAATGGACTCTCTGATGTCGATCAATGACGGCCTGGACAGAGTTGCGGAGGAGCTCGCCAATGATGTACTCGAGATGACTTAGAATGTAAGGAAAAGAGGCATCGAGATGGCCATCAACTGTGATTTCGGGAATCTGGACGTCAGGGCCATTCGTTGTGCGGGCAAGAATAGTGATGGCTTTAGAACAGCGCTCGACAACATCCTTAGCATAGCACTTAATAAACACTTCGCCGATGAAGTCGGATTCGGAAAGTTTGGCTCCGGGAGAGAAGTTAGGGGAGTTGTAGGTTTCTGTTAGTGAAAGATGCTGCTCAGCGATGACACGTCTAGAAATGCGCTGTTCTATGTCAGTGAGTCACCAAAGTCGTGTAAGGATGGGCACCCTACCGATCTAAGAATGGTGTTCATGAAGTTATCCAGATCTTGAGGACTCATGAGACCACCGCATTCTAGGATTCCCATAGCAAGCTTCGGTATCACAGTCAAGTGGCCCTTTAGGTTATGGCTGATGAGTTCGCACAGCTTGTCGTTGTCCTCCAATGTTTTAACCTCTTTCACTTTGCGGAATGTATCGAAGGCGTGGTAGTAGAGGTCGTAAACCTCCTTAATATGTGGGTTCATAGTAACGACATAGGGTAAACGTTGCATATCTCGGATCCGATGCGCAATTCTAATCACATGTCAGATCTCTTTATTCTCTGCGAAGCTTCCCAAGACTTACCGTGTAGGCAATTCGGTGCGAACATAGTTAGCCGAGCTTATCAGACGAGATTCTGTAAGAGAGCGACCAAAAACCATAAGTTGGCGGAGACTGATAGGTCGAGCTTCTTTCGCGACCCAGCTGAAGGCATCATGAGTTAGCTTTTGCAACCAGAAATCATATCGAAAGAAAATGCCATACTCGTCAAGGATTGAAACAGGACGCCATGATGCGTTTGTACCAGCGCGAAACTGAAACTTCGTATACGAGGTACGGGGAATATTCGCCAGGTAAGGGCGCGGATCTGTCAGTTTACATCGCCTGCTCTGTCGCAGGGCGATGGATGGCATGTCGTCACAGGCACATGCGAGGATGAATCGAAGTCTGTATTGGTTGATGCGTTAAGCCCAATCGGTTGGCATAAGTATAGGGTGCTTTCAGACGATGTTCTGCGTTTGGAAGAGGAGAGTATGGATGGTAGGAGCGAAAGGTGACAATCTGCATACGCCGTCTCGGTGGGAAGGAAGCTTTGGGCGAGTGACTCGATACCTACTGCCCAGGAACGGGATTGGAGTTTTACCCCACATCTTGTTGGCGATACCGGCCCGCCCAAAATGGTGGGTTGCAGGAAGGAGGAGAGGTTTCCGTTTGGGTTTATCCCGGTCACGGCTGAGTTCTGAGGCTGATAAGCCCAGCACAAGCTGTGAAGCTGTAGATGGGGCTGTTTTAGATGTGTGACTATTTATTTACAGGAAGCATGTCCATGACAACCAGTCATTCAATGTTTTGTTGTATGAATCTAGGGTAGCTTCCTGGATCTACCTAGGTAGTTGTGGCGTCTGATTGTTGCATTGTGGCAATGAGCTGTAACGGCCCATGAGTATTTCATATAGTCTAAATGTCTGTCCAAAAATGCTGTAAAAGAAAAGAACGAATCGTGTTTCATCAAGTATTGATGTTTGTCCTTTTCAGGGGAATCATACTGACGCACACTCTGTCAATTCGAGCTGTTCTTCGAAGTACCTACCTAAGCTAAGGCATGGCATAGGTAACTTTATAACATCTATGAGCATGTCAGACAAAGTATCTCGGCTCCTTAGTGCAAAGCTGAAAAACGACATGGGAAACAAAACCAAATATGTTTCCCAGCTTGCGTCAGACCGCTTCTATTTGCCTGCATCCTGAATGAAGGTGCAAGCCATCAAAACCGAGGCATGATTTATCTGACAAAGACTCAAGCTTAGCCTTTGGCTATGAGAGAACTGACAACGTCATTGGCGGGGTGACCTGATGACGCTTGGCGTGGCTGCTGTCTGTTAAAGTAATACAGCATTTATAGTGCATTTGTCCGCAAATAACAAGTCGCGTGACAACATTTGCTAGCTATCGCCTCACCACTCTCGTCAAGCCTGAAGTCTCGCACAACTCTTGTTCCCGCTGAATGATTGATTACTACTGGCTCTCTCTGCCTATCGATGCAAGGCATTGGATCCAAACTCACTCACCTCACACTCCTTTCTCCCAGTTTAGTTTTATCCAAACTACAGCCTCTTCTCTTTGTTTAGACGCGACCTGACTTGACCTGGAATTTGAAAGGTCTAGGGGCTTAGGACCTGAGGTGTGGGCATCGTCTTTTACTGACATAACCGACCGCTCTACTCTTTTTTCTTTAACAGTGCAGAACTCGTCTTCCCCAATCGTCATAGCATAGCATACCTAGCATTGCCTTGCCTTGCTTGCCTTGCATCGCATTCACTCACTGCCTTGCGTTGCGCTCCAGTTCCGAGCCCTCTCTTTTTTTTTTTGGAGAATACTCTTTTGCTCACGGCAACACCTGGTCTCTTATTCCCTGCCCTTTGCGCCACTCGACATCGTCGAGCTTTGGCTGAAGCGCTTGCATTGATTGAGTTGCTCTGCTACTGCCACGCCCGTCTTTATATCGTGAGGTTTACTCTCTCGGGTGCCTGCCTTAACGTCACCGATTCTTCCGCCTCGGTCGCAGCTTCCTCAAAATGGTACGTTCCTGTCTGCTGCTGCCCCTTCCCGTGCAATCTTGTTCCATGCAGCTTGCCGTGACTCCCATGGTCGCTGGAGAGCAACTCGTGCGGCCCCATCAACACAGCTGCGTCATCCTTCTGGCTCTGCGATCATCACATATTATGCAACTTCGACTCGACCTTACCACATCTTCTTGACATGAAGTATTGCGCAGACTTCTCTACCTAGTGCCCTGAAGTCATCATCACCTCCAATAGCCTACCACTTGCCCCTCACCACCCACACTAACCCCAGTCACTCCCGATGCCGACATCATGACCTCGTTTCATCGCCGCCTATGCTTTCGCTCGGGGCTCAACGCTGACCGTCGCAATCTGCTGCAGACTCACGATATCAACTCACCTAACGACATGGTCATGGACACGGACGATTACATCGGCGTGGCCAACGAGCCAGAGAAGGTCGCCATCATTAACCCCGATAACCTCGAACAAAGCGAAGTCGACCAGCTGCAAGATCTGCCCATGGCGAACGACCGTGCGTACTCCTTTCACTATCTCATTGACTCCTTGCATTTGGTGCAGACCCTAGGCATCATATGTTTTCTGTCATGACCACCATCCGTTCCTGGAGCTATCTGGGCTAACTGTCATGCCTCTAGATGAAGCCATGAGAGAGATCTGTCTCCCACCCCTCATCGATGAACCGAAAATACTCGGAGACTACGAATACACATGGACTGTCGAAAACTGGCGAAGCTTGAATAAGAAGGAACATGGTCCTGTTTTTCAAGCAGGTGGCTTCCCATGGTGCGGCTAAGTTGATTCCGGCGCTGCCGTTACTCTTAATGCTGACGTTCCACTACTATAGGCGAATTCTGCTTTTCCCACACGGCAATAACATCGACCAATGCTCTATTTATCTTGAACATGGCTTCGACGCTGATAGTGTTCCCGATAACTGGAGCTGCTGTGTTCAATTTGCGCTCGTCCTATGGAACCCGAACGACCCCAGCCTATATGTCCATCACACTGCCCACCATCGATTCACTAAGGAAGAAGGCGATTGGGGTTTTACTCGATTTGTCGAGCACCGCCGAATGTTTAATGTACCATGGGAGGGCAGCAGCCGACCCCTCTGCGAAAATGACACTGCCAACATCACCGCCTATCTTCGCCTCGTCGAGGATGAGACGGGTGTTTTGTGGCACAACTTCGCCAACTACGATTCCAAGAAGGAGACGGGGTATGTTGGGCTCAAGAACCAGGGTGCCACCTGCTATCTGAATTCCCTGATGCAATCACTCTATTTTACAAACAAGTTCAGAAAGGTAGTGTCTCTCAGCTGTTCTCTTGTATACTATTAGCTGACTTCTATAGGCTATCTACGAAATTCCTACGGAGGCCGACCCCAGTATGACCAACAGTGCTTATACATTGCAACGACTTTTCTACCAGCTACAAACGTCAGACCAGGCAGTTGGAACCACGGAACTCACAAAATCTTTCGGCTGGGACACGCGACATATCTTCGAGCAACAGGATGTGCAGGAGTTTTCACGCAAACTCATGGAGAGGATGGAAGACAAGATGAAGGGAACTGCATCGGAGAATGTCCTGCCAGAAATGTTCAGTGGCAAGATCAAGACATACATCTCATGTATCAACGTCGACTATGAATCCAGCCGAATCGAGGACTTTTGGGACATTCAGTTGAATGTCAGTGGTAACAAGCATCTGCTCGAGAGCTTTGAGGACTACGTTCAGGTCGAAAAGATGGATGGAGAAAATCAATACTTTGCTGGTGATCAGTACAAGCTCCAGGATGCGAACAAAGGTGTCATTTTCAACAGCTTTCCTGACGTACTCCATCTACAGCTGAAGCGCTTCGAGTACGATATCCAGCGCGACACCATGATGAAGATCAATGATCGATACGAGTTCCCCGAGTTTTTTGACGCTGCGCCGTACCTATCTGAGGATGCCGACAAATCTGTTCCATGGACGTATCAGCTTCACAGCGTTCTAGTCCACAGTGGTGATCTGAACGCAGGACATTACTATGCCTTTTTGAAGCCTGAAAAGGACGGATGGTTCTATAAGTACGACGATGATAAGGTCACCAAGGCGACGATGCGCGAAGTGTTGGAAGAGAATTTTGGTGGAGAGTATCAAACATCCAATGGTTACCCGCGTGCGCCTGTGCAAAAGAAAGCTCCCATTATGCGCCAAAACAGCGCATACATGTTGGTGTATATCCGCCAATCTCGTATAGATGATATCCTGTGTCCGGTTACCAAGGATCATATTCCGCTTCATCTTAGTAAGTCTTTTGGCGTTCTTCCTTTGTCACCTTGCTAACCACCATAGGGCAAAAATTTGAGGAAGAGACTGTTCAGCGGGAGGCCCGCAAGAAAGAACAGCGAGAGGCGCATCTATACATGTGGGCCAAGGTGATCACTGATTACTCGTTTCAACAATATGGCGGCACAGATTTGTGTCAGTTTGATGCAAAGCCTGAGGATCCCGCTGCGCCAAAGTTCTATCGCGTGCGTCGCGCGATGACCATGGAGGAGTTTGTTGCGCAAGTTGCATCGGATATGGGCGAAGATCCACGAAGGGTACGACTTTGGCTCATGGTCAATCGACAGAATAAGACAGTTCGCCCTGACCAACCCATTATGGATTTGCGGCCTACAGTCGACGAGACTTTCTCCCGTTCCGCTGCCCACAGAGATGCTAGTTTACGTGTGTGGGCTGAGGTTGCCGAGGAAGTCAATGCTGATGGAGAGCCAATCTGGCCATCTTACCAGAGTCAGCCCAATGGTGTTATCGTCAAGAATGACACCATCTTACTTCTTCTTAAGCACTTCGATATCGACGCCCAGACGCTGCGGGGTGTCGGCCATGTCTACATTTCCAAGGACAAGAAAGTTGAAGAACTGCTGCCAATGATCCTGAAGAAAATGGGATGGGGCGAGAAGCTACCTGCTGAGGAGAAGCTTCTGCTTTGGGAAGTAAGAAAACCACTCACCTTGAACGACCGAAGGTAACTAACTCAAAATAGGAGATTAAGCCTACTATGATTGAACCTCTCAAGCCCAAGCAGTCGCTGAAGGTTGCCGAATTGCAAGACGGAGACATTATCTGCTTCCAGCGAACCAAGGCTGGCGTCGAAAAGCGCGCTGGTGAAAAGACCTCGCAAGAAACGTATGTTGTTACAGTAATATAGTGCGGGCCATTCATTTACTGACATGTTTTCAGAAGTAACACATCTGACCATTTCGAGGATGCGCGTGAATACTACGATTTCCTTGAGAATAGGCGAACGGTTAAGTTCCACCCGCATCCCGCTCGATGTGATCAGGCGCAGTATCCCCCATTTGATCTCGTGCTTAACACTAAGATAACTTATGACACGCTTTCAGAGCGTGTTGGAGCGTATTTGGACGTGAAACCGACACATATTCGGTTTTGGACAGTAAATGCCTCCACGCAAAACCCCAAGACACCGGTTAGACGCGGAGCAAACCCAACACTGCGACAGATTCTCAGCCCTATGGGTTCAACTGCCCTCAACTCCACTCAGAGAGACGATGCCTTTTACTTTGAAGTCCTTGAGATGAGTTTAACAGAACTCGACACCAAGAAGAGCATCAAGGTCAATTTGCTGAGCGAAGGCATCACCAAAGAGGTATTTTTGAGTCTCATCATCTTTCGACAATGCGACTAACCTTGTATGCAGGATACATACGACCTACTCGTCCCCAAAACAGGAACTATTGACGATTTAGTCGAGGTTTTGATAAGAAAGGCGCAAATACCAAGCGAGATGGACGGTGGAAGAATCCGCATCTACGAAACTAGCTCCAACCGCTTCTACCGTGAGCCTCTACGCGAACACCCCGTTATTAACTTGAACGAGTTTGCGAAGATCTATGCGGAACGAGTTCCTCAAGAGGAGCTCAATGCCGATGATACCCATTTCATTCATGTCTTCCACTTCCACAACGACGTTAGCCGCGTTCATGGCGTGCCGTTCAAGTTCCTGGTCATCGAGGTGAGTGCCTTTGATACTAAGACGCATTCAATGTATTAACATAGCGACAGGGCGAGAGCTTTGCAGACACCAAGAAGCGATTGGAGAAGCGAACCGGAATCAAAGGCAAGAGCTTTGAGAAGATCAAGATCGCTGTTGTGCGACGAGCCAATTACTCAAAACCCCAATATCTCAATGACGGTCAGTGCCATTTTTTGCATTTGACTTATTGAGTAACTAACAACATGTTTTTAGATGATGTGCTATCAAGTTTCATACAAGGGGAAGACGACTACCTCGGCCTTGACCATGTAGATAGAACGAGGACATTGAGGAACGGCGTTGGGGACCTATTCCTTAAGTGAAAGGTGCCGAAAGAGAAGGAGATCATGTTGTCTCGAGAGCATGTAAGCAATAAGGCAATGAGTGTCGCCGATGATGAGGCAGAGACACAGAGTATCTAGCATATAAGCCTGCCTGCCGCTTGGGAACAGCAGCGCTCAAGCATCGCACATTCGCAGTCAAAAAGCATTGGTGCTGCTGCTCAACTGACGAGCACAAAGCCGTGGAAAAGAGCACACGCAAGGGTGCATTACATGAGTGTCTAAGCTGAGAGGCGGGTTTTGCCCAGTCATGATGATGAATGGATGGAATGGCATGCGAAATGAAAGCATGAATCAAGAAGGATAGGGGCGATGATTACAGCATAAATTTCATTCTTACTATTCATTCCAATCGTTCGTGCTCGATCATGATATTTCATATATGCATGTTCTTGTGAGACTGGATGTACGAAAGACACCGGAAGACATCGATTCTATGTATTGCCATAACGGAGGGCAAACATGGTGTTATATCGTAACGAAATCTTAGTATTAGCTTGGAGTTTTTAATGTCATGTGCTATTATTAAATCTACTAGTCTCAATCTCTTGACATATACGATGTGTGCTGTCAAGTAAGCCAGACCTCGAAGGTGAGGTATATAAATTGAAATTTGCAGTATGGTTGCCACCAAAGAAAGCAATTTGGCGCAGTGGAAGCGCGGTATGTCCACCATTATCTGCATATGAAAATCCTTACTAACAGCCGCAGCCGGGCTCATAACCCGGAGGTCGCACGATCGAAACGTGCAATTGCTAAATTTCCTTTTTTTGCATTTTTCGAGTTTGAGAGCAGTACAGGAGTATTTCCTTTTATTGATTTGTTTGTTCATCTTTTGGCGAAGCCTCATGATCAAAGAGAGCTGTTGACCTTGGTACTTACTACCTTTCTGGGGTCAAGGAACCGGTCCATTATTTCTCTATGCCATGTCTCATCAAAGTCCTGGAGAGATACTAAGAATAGTCATATCTGGAAGCGTAAATAATTAAATAATGAACAGGTATATTTGCTCGAATGCCACTATCTAGATGATCGCTTGTGTGTCACGGGGTCCGGGCAACAAAAAACCCAGACGGCCATCCTTTTGTAAAACAACGATCCCTGTCTGTTCCAGAGCAACTCTCGTTAACAAACTATCAACATGAAAGCTGTGAAGTAGAGGGTGTTCTGTATAGAATTGTTGGCAGTTCCGTGCAACCCTGAGATGATTGCAAGACAGTTGCAATGAGTCACAGAGATAGGAGCGACACAGTCCTGGCAGCATTACATCAAAGTTTAATGAGGTAGATATTGAATGCCGAGATGTATAAATAATCTGCGGTCTGTAGCTTCTAGTGTCTCCATTTACTCTGCTCTTAACACGTTACTTCATGTTATAAGACATCTGCGACAGTAATACTTAGTACGTAGGCACTGAGCCTCCTTAATCCCCCTCTCGGCTTTCCACCTAGTGCGAATATTTAAAGAGAAATAGAAGTATCCAAGAAGTAATACTTCAAAATATCAAGGGAGTTGACTCATAACCCGGATAGAACGAAACCTTGATGCGCTTTTGACGCACCAAGACCCTCTGGGAATTCTCTTACACTAGGTAGTATTTACTTGTCAATATTTGCAAGAGAAAGAGCGAAAAGAAGCATTACAAGATCTGAGAACCACATGTTTCAGCTATTTTCCCATTTGGCCTTTGCGGCATGTCAGAGCGTCAGAGAAACCCCTATGTTTGCTCAGACCCGACTATTTCTCAGTCTAACAAGACGGACACACAACAGCTATTGGAACAGGTTGCTACAGGAATACTTCGGCAATGATTCAATACGAGCGGGAGATATTTCCTATAAAGAAATCCTAACTCATTCTAAGGATTGCCTAAACTTCTTCAACAAGATCATCCTGAAATTGCCAAAGTAACTCCTTCAGCTTTCAGCTTGATATTGAGACTAAGTTGCCAGATGGGAAACAGAGGACTTTTCCAAGAAGTGGTCTTAGTACAGACCTCGAGGGTAATTCTCTACTTTGAAAAGTAAGGTGAACCAACTCAATAGTTTCGTAGTCTCCGTACCGTTCGGAACCTGATATAAGGATGTCGCCAACGTCACTTTCGGTGGTTATATCGGCAACGAGTGCACCCTCGCTAACGAACTTGTACGTTCGTGAGAATTTCCACCTTATTGACTCCACCAATCATAAAGTTATGGCCAAGATGGGAGAATCGTACAGTTTATCCTAAGATTGCCATGAGAACCCGTCGTGATCATAGCTTTTGGGCAATCATCGCCTGTAAGTATTTAACGTTTGGGGAGCAACGCTGCCTCCCAAGCTTGACTAATGTGCCCATGTCTGCTGTTGCAGCGATCATTCGGCCGACTCAACCCAATACTAACGGACGAGGTATCTTTGGCATGTGAAAAGGGTCCGATTCAAAGTTGACTTTGTAATCAGAGGCAGCACCGTGGAGGATAAATATGGATATTGGAAAGCTCTAGCAGCTCCGGTGGAGGACGCCTACGTTGACCCTATATTGACCCCCCAGCGCCCTCACATTATTAACTGATAACGTTGGGGGAGGAGGCTCTGTGCTTATGTGCATTGCATTGGTAGCGTTAATCAGCGTTCCACAATGGCCTTGGCAAGCCGTTTGCTCGCTGTGATTACCAATACAAAACATCCATCAATGTTCTCATTTCAGAAACAGTTCACAATAGAGTAAATTACTGTGACTCTTACGGCGTAAACAGTTCCACTTTCTTGTATTACTGAAGTATCCGGCAAGCCCCGAGACGACTCTTATACGTGTTCACCGGTTCAGGTACCCGGCGTTTAGGCGTATGCTGCAGCAGCAAAAGACGGAATGCAGAGTTTGTGGCGCTAAAATCCGATGGATTACGCTGCAATGTCCGGCCGGGAGAAGGGATCTGCGACTTGGCATGAATCTGTTAAAGTAAAATCTGCGGGGCCTTATCTCAGATCCCGAGTCAGCAACTCCACAAACTCCATAACGTTAGGCACAAAGATTCGGACACAAGAGCTAAAGTCCATTCTCAGCAGTCTGCAGCGCATCCACACGCTAACTGAGCTCCGGAGAAGTGACAGAAAAGAATGGCTGACACCATTGCCTATTATGGTTAACAACTGAGCAGGTCATTTTGGATACTCTTCGTCTAAATCCCTTCCATCTCCCTTAGCGTACCGGAGGCACCTTTACGTCACTACGGAGAGAAAAAAATGTGCATAACTAGGGGTCATTATAAATACAATTATTCTCAGGGTTGAGACGTTGAGAAGTCATCATTGCGTGCTACTAAAGCTCCTGCCTGTCCTGCAGCTCTCCGTTGTGAAGCTTATCTTCACCGGTCTTTCCCCTTTCATAGCCAAACACTTGATAGGGCAGACCTACAGAGATAATAACTGCATACAAATATCAAAGCGGTGCCGCTCACCAGCTGATCGTCATATTCTTTTCCCTAATAACTACAACATACACAGTTTTTCTTTCTTCTCTTAATCTCGTACAATCGCCGTCAACATGTTGGGAAACACGGTAGACGGCGATGCTCTTCGCCGCACACAATCTTCTATGCGGCAACAGCAGCAACAACCCATTTCTCAACAAACTGTCGAAGGTGGACAACATAATCCTACAAGCAGCAGCTCCTCCGAATCAGGTGTCGTCCAAGAAGGAAAATGGGGTGAGCGTGGACAGGAAGATGTCACTGCTCAAGAGGCCATGCAAGAATTCGAGTCTCTACGTCACAACTTGATGAGCCTACACAAGACAAGGACAGCAGACACGCATGCAAGCAGGGCTCAGAGTAGACGGACGAGTACTGCTGCTCGAGTTCGGTCAGAGAAACATGAACATGACCATGACGACGATGATGGTTCCAAGACCGATGTGGAAGCTGGTCCTGAAGAGAGTGAGGGTTTCGAACTCGGCCGCTTTATGCGAGAAGGCCATTTCGAAAAGCGCTCCGAGGAGGAGGGATCTTTGAAGAGAGTTGGCGTTGTGTATGAGAACCTCACCGTCAAAGGCGTCGGAAGCACAACAACTTTTGTTCGAACTGTACCTGATGCTATCCTTGGTACATTCGGCCCCGATCTCTACAATGTCCTCACCAGATATTTTCCTTCTCTCCGAATTGGAAAGCCCCCAACCCGAACACTCATTAACGACTTCACCGGATGTGTTCGTGATGGCGAGATGATGCTCGTCCTGGGACGGCCTGGCGCTGGGTGCAGTACCTTCCTCAAAGCTATCAGCAACAACCGCGAATCATATGCTGCCGTCGAAGGAGAAGTTTCGTACAGTGGTATTTCTGCTGCTGAGCAGAAGAAGCACTACCGAGGCGAGGTCAACTACAACGGCGAAGACGATGTTCACTTTGCTACTCTGAGCGTGTGGAAGACTCTCGCTTTTGCGCTTACCAACAAGACCAAGATCAAGGAGAAGGCCGATATTCCGGTTATTGTGGATGCTCTCATGAAGATGTTCGGTATCAGCCACACAAGAGATACTGTGGTTGGTGATGACTTTACCAGAGGTGTCTCCGGTGGTGAGCGAAAGCGAGTTTCAATTGCAGAGACACTGGCTTCCAAGTCTACCGTGATGGCATGGGATAACTCTACTCGAGGACTGGACGCATCGACCGCCCTTGACTACGCACGATCTCTGCGTATTATGACAGATATTAGCAACCGAACCACTCTCGTAACCTTGTACCAGGCCGGAGAGGGTATTTACGAGTTGATGGATAAGGTTCTGGTCATCGATCAAGGCCGACAGATCTTCTCCGGACCTGCCAACAAGGCAAAGCAGTATTTCATTGACCTTGGATTCGAATGTCCCGAACGACAGACGACAGCAGACTTCTTGACTGCCGTCACCGATCCGACTGAACGACGCTTCCGACCCGGATTTGAACACCGCGCTCCCCGAACACCAGAAGAGCTTGAGTCGGCTTTCAGGAACTCACCACACTACCAAGAGCTCCTGGCAGATGTTGCTGCATACAAGGAGTCTCTTCACCGGTCTGACTACCAAGACGCGAAGAGGTTTCAAGGGGCCGTCCAGGAGTCGAAGTCAAAGCACGTCTCCGACAAGTCACCTTACACCATCTCGTTCCCCCGACAGGTGCTTGCTTGCACTAAGCGAGAAGCCTGGCTCCTGTTCGGCGATACCACAACACTCTGGACAAAGCTCTTCATCATCATCTCCAACGGTTTCATTGTTGGATCTCTCTTCTATGGACAGACCGAGGACACGGCAAGTGCTTTCAGTCGTGGCGGTACCATCTTCTTCTCGATTCTCTTCTTGGGCTGGCTTCAACTCTCTGAGCTTATGAAGGCTGTGTCTGGGCGTGCCGTTGTTGCTCGACACCACGACTATGCTTTCTATCGTCCCTCCGCTGTTTCCCTTGCTCGCGTTCTGCTCGACTTCCCTGTTATCGCTGTCCAGGTGTGCATCTTTGGTCTCATCATGTACTTCATGACTGGGCTTGATGTGGATGTGTCAAAGTTCTGGATCTACATGCTCTTTGTGTATACCACAACCATCATGGTCACAGCCCTGTATCGCATGTTTGCTAGCTTGTCCCCAGAGATTGACACAGCCGTACGATTTTCAGGAATCTCGCTCAACCTGCTCATTATTTACACCGGATACGTCATCCCCAAGACGCAGTTGTTGAAGGACTATATCTGGTTCGGCTGGCTGTACTGGATCAATCCCATCAGCTACAGTTTCGAGGCTGTCTTGACCAACGAGCTGTCCGATAGAATTATGGAATGTGCTCCCTCCCAGCTAGTTCCGCAGGGACCCGGAGTTCAGTCTGGATATCAGGGTTGTGCGATTAGCGGAGCTACAGTCAATGCGCAGTCAGTCTCAGGAAGCGATTATCTACAAGCTACCTACAACTATAGCCGATCAAACCTATGGCGAAACTTTGGCGTTGTCATTGCTTTTGCTGTTCTCTATATCCTCGTCACGGTATTGGCAACAGAGATGGTCAGCTTCACACAAGGTGGTGGTGGTGCCTTAATCTTCAAGAAGAGCCGGAAGGCTAAGGAACAAGCACGCAAAGCCGAAGCCCCTGTCGATGACGAGAAAGTTGTTGGAAATGGTGCCAGCACCTCTTCCGGCGTTGTCGCTGACCCCAACCCAGGAAGTGAAGACGAAGCCTTGGAACAAATTACCGATAGCGAGTCTATCTTCACATGGCGTGACATCGAGTATACAGTTCCATATCTTGGTGGCGAGAAGAAACTTCTGAACAAGGTCAGCGGATATGCTAAGCCTGGTGTCATGGTCGCCCTTATGGGAGCTTCAGGTGCTGGAAAAACCACACTCCTCAACATTCTTTCGCAGCGTACAAGCATCGGCGTCGTTACAGGTGAGATGCTTGTCGATGGACGGTCTCTTGGCGCGGACTTCCAGAGAAACACTGGATTCTGCCTTCAGGGTGACCTGCACGATACAACTCAGACTGTTAGAGAGGCTATTGAGTTCTCTGCCATTCTGCGGCAGGACAAGTCTGTCAGCCGTGCTGACAAGCTTGCGTACGTGGACAAGATCATCGACCTGCTGGAGCTCAATGACCTCCAAGATGCCGTTATCATGTGTCTCGGAGTGGAACAGCGCAAGCGTCTAACCATCGGCGTGGAATTGGCGGCCAAGCCTTCTCTTCTTCTCTTCCTGGATGAGCCCACATCTGGCCTTGACTCGCAGTCTGCTTACTCGATTGTTCGTTTCCTCCGAAAGCTGAGCCGCGCTGGCCAGGCGATCATCTGCACCATTCACCAGCCAAGCTCTGTTCTTATTCAGCAGTTTGATATGGTCCTTGCTCTGAACCCTGGAGGTAACACATTTTACTTTGGCCCCATGGGCGAGAATGGAGAAGACGTCGTCAAGTACTTCTCGGACCGCGGTGCTGTCTGCCCCCCTAACAAGAACGTCGCCGAATTCATTCTTGAGACTGCTGCACGACCGCACAGGCGGCCTGACGGCACCAAAGTTGATTGGAATCAGGAATGGGTTGAAAGCGAGGAAGCTCAAAAAGTGCTTGAAGAAATTGATGGTCTTAAACGAGTTCGAAGTTCCGCAACCGAGGGAGTAGTTTCTTCAAACAAGGAGCACTCTGAATTTGCTGCACCGACTTGGCTTCAGACGGCCGAGTTGACCAAGCGTATGTTCCGACAACACTGGCGCGACCCCTCTTACATCTATGGAAAGTTTTTCATTGCGGTCATCTTTGGCATCTTCAATGGCTTCACCTTCTGGAAACTTGGCTACACGATGCAAGACATGCAGAACCGCATGTTCACTTGCTTCTTGATCGTGACAGTTCCTCCCACCATCGTCAATGGCGTCGTCCCCAAGTTCTTTACCAACATGGCGCTTTGGCAAGCCCGAGAATATCCTTCTCGTATCTACGGATGGTTTGCTTTCTGTACTGCCAACATTGTTTCTGATATCCCAGCGGCTGTAGTGTCAGCAGTGTTGTACTTTGTGTTGTGGTACTGGCCCACTGGACTTCCAACCGAGAGCTCTGTTTCAGGCTACACGTTCCTGATGACTCTTCTCATCTTCCTTTTCATGACAAGCTGGGGACAATGGATCTGCGCGTTTGCCCCCAGCTTTACCGTCATCTCCAATGTAAGGTCTGCCCTCGATAATATATCTTGTCGTACTAACAGCATTAGGTCTTGCCCTTCTTCTTTGTCATGTTCGGTTTGTTCAACGGTGTTGTTCGCCCATATGCCTCACTTCCTGTCTTCTGGAGGTTCTGGATGTACTACGCGAACCCCTCTACATACTGGATTGGAGGCATCCTGGCAGCGACTCTTGATGGCACTCCAGTGGAATGTTCGTCCGAAGAGACTGCCAAGTTTGACGCTCCCCCGGGACAAACATGTCAAGAATATGCAGGAGCATTTGCAGACTCCGCTGGAGGATATCTCCTCAACCCCAACGCCACGAGTGCTTGCGAGTTCTGCCCAATGTCTTCTGGTAACGATTACCTAGCGTCGCTCAATATTGATGCGAGTGACAAGTGGAGAGGTATGCTGATCCAACCAAGCCGTATCGACACAATGTATTAACATACTGCAGATTTTGGTATCTTCCTAGCATTCTGTGTGTCCAACTGGATGCTCGTTTACTTCTTTATTTACACAGTCCGTGTTCGGGGATGGAGCTTTGGCTTTGGAACGATCTTTGGAGGGTTGGGCAAGTTGGTTGATCTGATCAAGAAGCCGTTTCAGCGAAAGAAGGAGGAGTAAGAAATCGATTTAGTAAATGCAATTTAGAAAGGATATGGAAAAGTACTAGCGAGGATTTGAGATATAATAGACAAACCGGGTTGGCAAACGAAGAATCGTACAGCCCTTAATACTACATCTAACACCAGTTTCTCATATTGTTCAGTAGCAACTGTAACAAATTGTCTCCGCCAAATGTACCCCAGAACCGAGTATGTTGAAGTATAATTTCATCTATTCAACCCTCCCAACAAGGCTCAGTCATCATTCAGCATCACGCTTCATAGCCTCCTGAACCCAAACCGATCTCTCCCTCCCCAGCTTCTTCAGCTCTTCGTCCGGCAACTCATTGAGCTGAAGGTAAATATGAGGACCCGGCACATTGCGGCCTTTCTCAAACCCAGGACGCTCGAGGAGCTTGTACATCCAGTTCTTGACATGAGGAAACTCGTCAATCTGGGAGAGGCCACTGTACTCTGCAGGTGGAAATTAGTTGCCTTTATGTATACAATCCCTGAGTGAAATGCTTACTGTATGCGGTAGTCCATGGCCAAATGGCGATGTCGGCGATGCTGAGATGATCGCCAACAAGATATCCGGATGGATTTTCTGCAAGAGCCTTGTCCATCGTTCGGTAAAGGCGGCGCGTTTCGTTGACGTATCGTTTCAGGGCATATGGATAATCACCAAAAGCAGACACTTTATTCTATCAGTTCAGTTACCCCTTTTATCTCGGCTCAATACTGGTAACGTACTCTCAAAGTGGTTTGCCTGACCTTGCATTGGGCCGAGACCACTGACTTGCCAAAAGAGCTATGGGGGCTTCGATTAGATATATCTTCAACAGTAACTTGTAGGTATGGGATTTACCCAGCTCGTCATCTGCCAGTACTCTTTGGTACCACGGGGATACGAGATCTTGTGGTCCTTGTCATACCGTTCCACAAGATACTGCAAGATAGCACCACTTTCCCAGATCTTGAGTTCGTTGCCATGCTCGTCTGTGTCAACAATGGCTGGGATACGACCGTTTGGGTTGATGTCAAGAAACCACTCCTCTTTCTGTTCGTGTTCGAATAGTTTAATTGCACGAGCCTATATACATGGACTACGTGAGAAGTAGACACAACTATTTTGGGACTAGGGTTCGTACATTGTACTTCAAGCCCAGCTCCTCAAGTGCAATAGAGATCTTGAGTGGGTTGGGAGTGCCTTCGCAGTAGAGAGTGATCATATTCTCGGCTGACATAGTGGTCTAGGGTCTGAAGCTGTGCAAAGATTTGATGATGATTAGAGGTCAAATGTTAATGCTTTCGATTCTGAATTCTTGATGCTTCTACTTTGCGGACGGCTCTTGGTTCATATTTATACACATCCTGTTCTCCCATGCCTTAAATCTTTCGCGTTCGAAAGTCGAGGTCATTATTCATCGTTCTCTGCCCGTAGATTAAGAAACCATCAACTTCATGACTGCTTTGTACCCCAAACGGTTCATGGTATCACCAAAGAGGCTTAGAAGGATAAGGATCTGCTGTGTCACAGCCTTCTCCTTGAACACAATGACCGCTGGCCACTTGCCAAAGAAGGGGAATGGTAAATCAAAAAGGGCAAAAGCTATAATCGAAATTCTAAGAGATGTGCCAGGAATGGTAAATGGTATTTCAATAATGGTAAGGAGCTAGAGTTTGCGCCCTGGTGCTTAGAAGTTGGAATCTGGTATGATTATCAATCCTCTCTGCTTCCGCGGAGCCTTTGAAATCACACGTCTAAGACTAAGACACTCAACTTGTGGTGGGCCTCGTTTGGGATTGATGACCTCAGAATCTGACTCTAGACAATAAATCAAATAAAAGTACTGTTTTCATGTTTCCTCAATGCTTTGCCCCAAACCTTTGTCTCGTTCTAGCACATGTTTAGTTGGTGTCACGATGGCAGGGATGGATAAGCCTCCAGAGGAGAAACGTCTCCTCTTCATTAATACCAATGAAAACAATTTTCCTCCACGTAGAAATCAGCATAATTCAATTGATTCCGAGGTCCGTCGCCATGTTATGCTTGATATTGGCAAGGCCCGACGAAAGCCATCAAAGGACCGCCAGTTCGTCACCTTGACATGGCAGGCACAAAAGCACACCGGCAAACAAGAAAGTCCAAAGAGAAGACAATATGGCCATTCAAAAACACCCGAGGAGTGCCAGGCCACAATAGGCACGCCTACATTGTACGCACTGGCTGTCTTCGAGAGGGAATGGGGAGAAGATTCGTTCTCGGCATACGGATTTACTCTTATCATGGCCACAGGGAAGAATGCGATGAGCGGCAGTAAGTGAACTCAAGTCCTATGATAATCTAGTTAGGTGTTTCGTACGTACTGAATCTGAGGATACAGCTTATTCGGCAAATACATTCTGGTCCCCCTTCGCCTTCAGAAAGTCTGCCTTCCTGAAGCACTACCAGCAAATCTTTAGTTCACCAGATGTTCTTATCCCATTATACCTTCGATCATCACTAGAACTCAAGTCCATAGCGCTGGAGCGCTCACTTATGACAATCCAGTGTATCGAGTCCAGACTTACAAGCTCTGATACGAGTTGGGCAACATCAGACAGCGTTATTAGCGCTGTTCTGGCACTAATCTGCTACAATGTAAGCTTCGCATCATATATAGATTCTTCTTGGTCGGATAACTGAAATCGTGGTAGTTTTCCAACCTAGATTTTGACCAAGCGATGGTTCACATCAGCGGTATCTGGATGGTGATTGAGGTCAGGGGCGGCATTTCTACCGTAGAGAATAATCAGGACCTACTTCTCATGATATCATGGTATGTGCGAAACCTTTCTGCTACGTTATCAGTTATATTCAGCGACTCAATGGTCCGTCAGGGTCGATATCACGGCAGCACTTCTGCACAACACGAAACCCTTATTTCCACTACCCATGAACCTAGACGCATTCGTTCGCCCAGGCCTGAACATGCTCCCAGGTCCGCTTTTCGGCGTCCTTAACGGCGATATATTGTGTAATGAGCGCTTTCTGGCGGTTCTTGCATGTATGGGAGATTTGAATGCACTTGCAACATTCCTCCAGACCGAGCAGGTGACCAAGGGCGATGCCATCTGGAGCGACGAAGAGCAAATGGGTCTCCTTTTGAACCCAATTGCGCATAACTTATTGAACCAACAACAATTGGAGCCTCCGAAGCCTGATACACCTTACGAAATAATCTTGGAGTCGCTCAGGCTTGGGGCTATCATCTGGATTATACAGGTGAAGCGAAGGTGCCGCTCTTATCCCGGGACTGCTCAAGCACGTATCACGACACTCCTCAGAACAATATCAAATGACACAGAAGCTGATACCCCATGGAACTGTAGTGTAGACCTGCAGGTTGTTCGTCTCTGGCTCCTGGTTCTTTGCAGTGTCAGCGAACCTAGTGGCCAGGACTATTCGACCTTGATGCGAATAATAGCTTCCGAAATGAAAGAACTGAACCTGGTGACTTGGGGCCAACTTATTTATATCATACAAAGAATGCCCTGGATCTACTTGAGTGAAGTGCCGGACTTGAGCACCTTGTGATGCTGGTTCAGGGGTATATTGGAGAACATTATGAGTCCAACCTCCGTACAAGGATATCAAAGTTCCCATTCCGACTTTAGTTACTTATTTCTTTAATATATTCATTTTAAAGACCTCAAAACATGAAACGATACTCCAGATAGTTCTGGTAATCAATGCTAAAGCAGTGTCCTTGCTACCTAGGCACCAGAACATTCCCCCCTGAACCATTTCTCTTTCCCCTCTGACAATCTGTGAGACTAGGCAAGGTATCCAATAGTAGCTCCAGCCTCATATTGGCAGCGAATCACTGTCAAATTCATTATATGACGTGACAAGCTCATTCACTGATGAGGATCTAAGAAACAAAAATCTCCACAATTCATACGATCTTCTTGCATCTTCTTGCCTCCTTTTGCTTCCCTTGCTTCCTAGTTGCTTTCTAGTTACTTCCTTTACCTTCCCAGCTTCGTTCCTTGTTTTTCATATTTTTTTTTTTTTTTTTTTTTTTTTTTTTTTTTTTTTTTTTTTTTTTTTTTCATTGCTTCCTCTTCTCCTCTGATTTCCTTCTCTCGCATCCCTTCATTTGCACACTCAAGCTTCGCCGGTGTTGAATCCCAGCCTCACAACTCAGATCATAAGACGCTTCAAGGTAAGTCAGTTTGCTATGAATACTCTATGCTTCATTTACTGATTATTTATCATTGGATTCCCGGTTATTGTGTCCTCTTTCTCGGTTGCTGTAGCTTCCAAACGCAGCTTCGCGTGTAAGGAAAGCTGATCTTGCAATCCACTTCAGCTAGAGTCTTTTGGCCTCCTTTGGCTTAGGTATGTCGTTTCTCTTCTGAAGATGATGTTCTCTATCTCTGACAATTTGTTCTTAGATCCCAAGCCACCTTACTGTCGCTCTCGCTGTCGCAGATAAGCTCCTCCGACATCGTGGTCACCTCCGTTGTATGTTTTTTCTTACCATCGTCCGTTTCCTTTCTCTAATCAAACATTCCAGTAGCGATACTTGGTCTCAATAGCCGTCGCCTCCCAAAAGCGATCCTTTGGTCGCTGTCGGTTCAGCGGGTACCCGCCAGTCCTTGACGTCAAGCTCACACAGCACGGCCAATCTCGCAACAAGAACCCCTTCAAGAAGAGGCCATCTCGACCTCCATATTGGGGCCAACTTCATCTCGTCGCCTTCTTTGGTGCCATTGTAGTCTCCAGTTTCATCATGGAAGACCCCAATCTGACCGAGGCGCCAGGTGCCGCGCAATGCCCTTCCTCCCAGTCGGCTGAGCTCAAAGACTCCTCAGGAAGACCCCATTGTGATCAGCCTATCGCTGGGGCCACTCCCTTGGGTACTCCTGTCGGCGCATCTGAGGACGATGCTGAGTCTCCTGGGTCTACTCCGCTCCCCTCTTCCGCGTTCAAGATGGCCAGTCATCAGTTTCCAGACGCCGTTTAGAAAGCGGCTTAGGAGAGTACCAAGGCCTCGCCACTGACTTATGAGCCACAAGAGGGGTCAACCACCAACTCAGGCGCCTCCATTGAGCCTTCTTCACCAAGCTCAATTCGCGGTGTCATGACCCCAAAGCCTGGGTCAGCAGATATATCAGATGGCAATGCCGATCTTGGGGGGTCATCTTCGGTCTCTCATGAAGAGGCTGTGTTGAATCTTGAAGACAAGATTCGCCAATTTGAATCCCAACTACGAGAACGTAATGAGTCCAGTTCAGTTCTCACGGTCCCCTATCCATCTCTGAAGCGCAAGATGCCAGACGAACTCTATGACCCCGTTTCCAAAAAGATGAAACCAGCGTCTCAAGTCAGCCCGGAAATGGGCTCATTATCGACGGAAGTTGCAGGTCGATACATGAGTTTCATCCACAACGAAGTGTTCTGAATCGCAGGGAGATCAGGCCTCATCAACCCGGCCGACTTCGACGTGGGGTCAGATGGGGCCATTGGCCTGTCGAAGCATGCCTTGAAAAGGGTATATTCAGACGATAAGTCATAGACCGTTGCTGGAGGCGTTGCCAACGGGTTACTGTGCACCGAGAGAACTCTATGATGGTATCGACGCCCAGTTGCCGGACAGAGGGCATTGGTTTCGGGAATAGTTTTGGGGGAAGATATCTTCCGACATTAGTTTTGAGAGGCAGGACTTACATGCTATTTTGGGGTCATTTGGCAGCAGAGAAAGCCGTCTAAACACTTGCATCTTGTCACTTTTGGGTGTATATAGAGATCTTCCTGAGGTCATCTCTGAGCTAAAGAGTTACTCTTGGTTGGAGGGTTAAAAGGTCGCTGGTTAGAGAGAAGGCTAGTTATCCATTCAAAGTTCAAGTTTTAGCTATGGCCCCATAGAAACAAATACCTGTTCTTTTGCCTTGACTGAAAACACATCGCGAATTAACTCATGCTGTCGTGTTATCATAGCTAATTGTATACCTCGTATCTTGATATCGATATCGTTGGTGGGCATTTAAGGGGTGGCCATAAAGGGGTCATTCGGGTATGATAGATCACCAACACATCATGGGGTCACAAGAGCTTGAATGGTGCCATTTCAATCTTATCTCTTTTCTTTACACATCTTCATCAAGGCCCCTTCATCTCATAGAGCTCCAGTAATCCCGCGATGATTGATGGCTCGTAAAGACGCACAAGTTAAGGTTACTTGTAGACTATCAGACTCAAGAATCTATAATACAGATGAAATTGATGTCCATCCAATCTTTGAAGGGGCTCCAATTGGCACCTTCAATGAGATCCATCCAAAGTTTGACTACATCAAATTTGATATCCCCTGTTGTGCCACATCTGCCATTTCCCTTGAATATTAGCTGACAACTCTTTCCATATAACACCCAACTTGTGGATATCATCAGCCGAAGTCTCCAGAATACTCTAAAACGTGGCACTAGACAGCTGAACAAGTATTTATGGAAACACTTTAAACTCACGATATATGCATTGGCGGTGTAAGGTTTCTCTCCCAGCACGGGGAATTTTTTTCACGATCGCGCACTCTCTCGACGTGGGCCACAGCGGGACGGCACGGGAGGTCTCCATTTTGGCTTTTCAGCCCTACGGGTCACTTCGACGTGTCTAACGGTTGATGAAGTATCAACATTTGTGAGTCAGTTCGTGAAAATTCTGAACAGAACAACGAGGTTTTCCATGGTTGAGTTGGCAATTGGTTGACTCAGCGTAACGGACATCCATGTAAGTCGGGCCCTCGCTAAAGAGTTAGGTTCTGCTGTACAATACGCGAACTGTTGAGTTGCTGTAGCCTCGGGCTTCACCGTCTGCTGATTTTTACATAAGTGGTCCTCCGTGGCAAAGTATGTACTGCAACGGTAACAGTTACAGCAAGACGTTGCTGTTGGTATAAAGCCGTATCATCCAGCCGGGATATTTCTACTCAACCACATATCAACACCTGTACTGTACTCTGTAACACAAGACAAGTGGATACACAAGGGTTGTACCATTTTGCGAATTCACAAAATAAATAAGCCTTCTCACCTCATAGAGCAAGTCTACAATACTGAACCGTGCTGCTCGAAGCGACTCTCGCATATCGTTCGTCAATTCATCGTGGAGGATCATCACCTTTAAGAGACGAGGGTACATATCACACCCCTGCATCTTCAGTTCTCAGCCCCTCTCCTCAGTCCCGTTCAGGCCAGTTCGCCGCGAGATGCGCAGACTGCAGCAGAGAATCAGAACTCAGCAAAGCCAAGCTCCAAGCTAAAGAAAAAAGAGAACCTTTCCTCTTTTCCACTGGACGACACTCCAGCTCTCAGGGGTTAAAGCGCAACCCGCTACTGTACAGTGGTGGAGTAGGGAAAAGAGACCCCTGAAACGCGCGAATCGTATCTCCAGCCACTCGAATTTACGGTGAGGAAGGATCATCGCGTGTGTGTCCCGTGCGTGCCCGCCGTGGCCCCTCCGAGCCGAGTAGACTGACACTACTGTACCTCACTCTTACAGTACAGCTCTGACTTGCATCTGCATTGGATCTTTCGTTCGCAGCAGCGCACATCCGCCCTTTACTCGTTTCGATCCAGATTTTCCTCAGAATCAGAGTGAGGATTAATCAACGACACGAGATAATTCTCCAATTGAATTAATAGCGCCTTTTCTTTCACGAATGCGCACAGTCTGAGCTTTCCCTCCCTCTACCTCTCTTTCTCTCATTCTGAAATCTCACCACCAAAAAAATTACTGCAAATCCAGCCACCGAGAATCCTCAAAAAGATGGGCTTCCTCGACTGGAACGACGGTGCCTCCGTCCTCTCAGGCAGATCTCGCCGTCACAAATCCTCTCGCTCTCACAAGAAGCGCCGTTCGCGATCCCGCTCCCGCTCTAGCTCCCGTGAGCGTGGCCGTGGTGGCTTCGCGGATATGGCAGACTCCTTCTTTGGCGGAGATCGCTATGGCAAGCACAATTCCTCGCGCGCTTCATTCTTTGGACTTGGCGGTAACAACAGCCGCTCGAGCTTCTTTGGGAACAGTAATTCTACCCCTCCCAGCCTCATACCTCGGAATCGAGAGGTGCTAACTAACTTACTAGGTCGCTCATCCTACTACAAGCGCTCCCCACGTCAAGGCTTCGTCCAGAAGACATACAAGCAACTCAAGCGTCTCCTCCGCGACCTCGTCCACTGGGCTAAGCGCCACCCATGGAAGGTCTTCTTCGTCGTTATCATGCCCCTCATCACGGGGGGAGCTCTGACTGCTCTTCTTGCCCGCTTCGGCCTACGTATCCCACCCGCCATTGAGCGCATGCTTGGTGTCGCCTCCAAGGCTGCCACGGGCGACTCGTCCGGCCTCGTAGGCGAAGCTGTCCGCATGGCCAGCGGTTTTGGCGGCAACAGCGCTGTTCGCGTAGAGCGCGACACGCACTCCTACAGCGGTGGCGGTGGTGGCGATACTTGGGGTGGTTTCGCTGATATGGCCAAGAAGTGGATGTGATGTTACTTCAGCGAGATGGCGTCGTTGCTTTGGACTTGTGACACTACCTTTTGGACGAGACGCACGCAATTGGCTTTGCTTGAGGCGTTTCAGGAACGGAACGGAATGGAATGGGAAGGATTTACTTGGGAGGATTATTGAGCCCGCATCGCCATATTACTGGTGATTTTACATAGAGACTGCAAGGCAGCATTCTTGAATACATTTCACGACTTAATGACCCCTGAATGTTGAGCTTTGTACCTGTCTGGAGAATGTGATCGCCTTCTTCCCAAACTCTACGATATCATCCTTGTCCCAAAACAGACCCACCATTCATCATGTCAGGAATAGGGTTACGAAGCATACCTCACGTCGTCGTAGATTCAGATTCAAAGTCATTTCAGCACTATGTTCATTACTAGTTCTGTGCATTTACCAGCCGCCTCCGCAAAATACCTAGTTAGAACTCATATCCCACTACGTCTTCCTCATATTGACAGCGGCATAAATGCCACATATGGGTTGTCCAACTCCCTGAGGAGTCCAAGCTACCCAAGTATCTGACTCAACCATCGGCCCTGTCGACCTGGGAGTCAGGTACATGAGGCCATGCCAGATACCAATGCTATTCATGCAATCATTAACCTCTGCGCCCATTCCGTTCCTTAAACTAAAATACTTGGGTTTCCATCGATCTAAGGCCTGTACCAGGTCTGTTGATGCCTTGTTTCTTGACCAATAATGTTAATCTGGCCATTGCTCCATGCAGTGGCCCCAAATAGAGTCGACTTGGTAGGGCTGCCGAGTAAAGCTTCTCGGTTGCAGGATGCCATAAAGAATATTGTACATGCGCCGTGCAATTGCAACGGCAGTCATAGAACGCCAACGCTTTAGAGTTTCTTCAAGTCGCATATCTCATTCATTACTTCGCCTCACCCTCTTTCTCCTTAGCGGGCTTCCAAAACTGCATCATTCGACCCAGTTTCTTCGTTCGGCTACTCTTTGCTTTCTTGTGATTCTCGTCGTTATCCAGTGTGACCTCCATTGAGAGCTTGCTCCGTTCACCATGAGAGCTACTGATGAGACGGCTGAGACTGGCAAGACTTGATCGACGTCGTCCAAAAGCAGCAGAGGAAACTGAAACTGGTCGAGGTTCTCGGAGAGTGGGCTGTGATTGACGCTGGCTGGGGAGAAACATGCTTTCCCTCGTCATTGTAGAGTTGCTAGATGTCAATGAGGGGATATCATAATCCACTGAAACTCGAACCTCGGGTCCAGGCTCTCCCATCAAAAGCAAAGACCGAAAGTTGTTGTCGTCGGTAACTGATGAGGGGGCTGTTGAGATTCGCTGAACCTCAACAGACATAGGCGACCGAGGAGACGGGAAAGAAGACGAGTAGCTCATGGCGTAAGGGCTGGTCGGAACATTGGCTGGGGCAGGAAGATGCAAGGGGCTGACTTCACCAGGTGACAGATCCTTGGTGCCTGAGAACCTTCTCAATGAAGAAGGGGTAGAATCAGTAGCCTCAGTTCGCTCAGCAGGCATGAAAGGGGATCGAAAAATCACGCTTGGCATCTCCTCGGCGATAACGCTTTCGTGTAAAGATGACCTCGAGCGCTCACCCCGCACCGTACTGGCAGATATTTGATCCTTGTCACTCAGGCTGGAGGTGGTTCGCCTCATGGCCTGGTTCAGCTGGCTTGAACTGTGAATTGAAAGCTTGTCTTGCGAGTCACGTAAGGGATCTCTTGTAACAGCAGCTGGAGGTGTAGCATCACTGTCAGAGTCAGTCTCTTCTTCAGAAGAGTCATCTGTTGTCCCAGATCTGGCATTGTCATCATCATCCTCTTCATCTTCTTCGAAAACATCGGCCATTGTTGAGCTGCTGTTGTAACGGTGCATGCCAGCACGGCCTGGATCAAATGGAGGTAGATCGGGAGCAGATTCCGCTCGACGATGATAATGCATACCAGGACCACTGAAGCCCTTCATGCCTTGAGCACTGTGAAGTCGCCGCTTGCCGGCACCGCCAGCAGCTCGTTGCGCTGCCTCCCACTCTGGGTTGAGTGGTAGAGGGGTGTTGAACGGGCCGAGAGCTGCGTCGAGGTCGATCATAGGATATGATGATTCATCTGCTGATCGCTTCGGTGCTTCATCTTGAGGAATGTTGGGAGATTCGGTGACAGTGAGAGTTGGTGTAGAAATCTCCAACAATTCAGGCTCTCCATACATCGCATCCTCGCCTTCGTATCGAGCGACTCTAGGAGCTGGTGGAGTTGGAGGTCGGCCGCTCTCGGATTTTGATCGCTTGCTGTGAGATTTAGGCTTTCGTGGCAAGATAGCCCCAGCCCAGCCTTTCACCTTCTTCTTTTTCTTCTTACTCTTTTTGCTGCTCTTACTCTTGACGGGAGTGATTTCAGCATTTTCGCCAACTGGATCAATTCCATGTCCAGTCACGGGCAATGCCTTGGTTAACAGATCAATTGACCCGGCGCTCTGTGGTCTCTTGCCAGGTGATGTGTTTCCAGCTGATGAGTCTCGAACGAAAAATGACCAGCGCTTCCTTGTCGGACTTGGTTCAGGATCTTCCGCTTTGGGAGCCTCAGCAAAATTGAGTAATGTCGGAATCGAATTTCGACGCTTTGGTGAAGATGGCGTGTTAGCCTGATCAGGAGTACGCTCGAGGATAGCACCTGCGGTGCTAGGCCTCGAATCTGAAATTTCGCGAGTTGATGTTTGAGATAATGGCGAAGGGCTATCACGGCCGTTGTGAGACGCAGCTGAAACAATTGACGATATGCTGCCAGATACAGAGTGCCCAGGTCGCGCTGTTACTGTACTGGAAGTCTCATTAGAGACGAGGGACAAAGGTCGTGGGATAAACTCAAGCGTGTCAGAGAAGCCGACACGAGCTTTGGGTTGTTTGGGGCTTCCGCTCGGTGAAGGGACTGAAACAAGCTCCTCAGTTTCTTTTGGCGCCTCGGGTTCAGGAGCAGATTCAGGCTCAGGAATAACCTTCTCATCTAGAGGTAGAGACGGCTGGTTGCTAGGCTGGCCGAAGGTGGTCGGGCTAGTCGGTGCGCTGTTTCCTCGGCCGGCGGCATCAAAGACGGGAGGCTGGAGAATTGGTAAGTCATTTGTTGAGATTGCGCCTGAAATCCCTCTTCGATGGCCTCTTCTTGGTGGTTGAAATGTTGGCGTTACGAGTCCACTCTCTGACTTGGTAGGACTAGTGCTCATGATGGCGATCGAGTTGCCCTCGCGGATACGTCCCCCAACAAATTCACTCCCACCTCTTCGATGTCCATGGCCGCCGGGTCGCTGTGATGATGCGATATTTCTAGGAGAATGAGGTGAAATTGGAGGAGTCAGGAGAAAATTGTTCTCGCGGTCTGGCGAAAGTAGAGCACCAGGGTTGAAACTAAAGTCAGGCAATGCCGAACGAGACTGTCCCTCTGCATTTTCAGCAGAAAACCCAAAGCTGAAGTTGGGAGTCTCAATGGCCGACATGGGACGACGACCGGTCGCTCGCGAGAAGGAAGAGGGCGCGGACGCCGGGGCAGGCGGTTTGGCTGGAAAGACGAATGGAGGGTTTGGCGGTGGCTCATCGAGCTGAGCCTGTGATTCAACCGATTGAGGGCCAGTAAATGAGTTCATTGAGGAAGCGAATCGATCGGAAGGGCTATCGAACGCTGGGCCGGGAGTTGGACGGGTTAGCCGCTCGGGGCCAAATGCGGTTGCCATCTTCTCCTCAGCCGCGCAGCGGCAACGAAGTGATGGACAACAATGTGTGAATTAAAGGTTCATAGGACAAGCAAGGCAACCGTTTCAGAACCGCCGGGCTCGCTTAATTATTCGGTTCGAGTAAATGTTGGCGATGTCGAAGAGGGTCGCGTCTGAGGCGTCACAAGCAACGATCAGTATAGATCTTGAGATTGAGATTGAGCACGTAAAAAGGCCAAGAGTGTCGGCTTCGAGAAGAGAATATTGCTACAAATAATGGCGAGCAAGTCGTACTGGGGTAACGGACCAGATAACACGGCAGCAACAGGCTTGAAAGTCGTCGAGATGAATCGCGGAAAATTGGCTGGACGAACAACTCGAATGGCGGATGTTAAAACTATGGTATGTAAAGAAAAGGAGTGGACGGCCAAGACCAGCGCAACTCTACAAAAACAAGAGAGCAACTGGAATCGCACCAAGAAAGAAGAGGTCGGGAGGAGGAAGGAAGAAAATCTTCGCTCGCAAAGGCGGCGTTTTCGATTTGAGGTGCGGCCGGAGAGATGAAGAAGAGAGGACGGGACGGGACGGGGGAGGGGGGATAAAACGCGATTTCGTGATAAAAGGCAGGCCAGAGGGAAAGAGGTAAAGCCAGATGCACTTGTGTTCAGCCACGCCCAGCAAGCGCAAGTGTATGCAAGTGCAAGGGGTCCCCACCTCACTGCCAACTGACTGTGATGGGGGTACGTATGGGCAGGTACCGCTGCAACCAACACGACTGCGAATAGACGGCCGGAAATGGCCAGGGAGGACATGCATCTCTAGTACCTCTGCGCTTCCTTCCAACTTTGGCCAGGCCCCAGGCCCAAAGGTAGGCCCCCTAGTCATAGTAGTTCATGATCCCTAATCCCTAGTTCCTTAGTTCTTAGTCCAGGTACCTGGCTTGCTGGCGTGGTCCTGGACAATCCGCCCTGGCATCCACAGTCCACACTCGAGAGAGACACGACATGGCCAAGGGGCGCCACCGCTCTCGGGGACTCCAGCTGCCCGTGTTGGGTGCCAAGATTGGATCGAGTGGATGCCAGTGGAAGGCGGTTCAGAATCGACTCGGTGTTAGGGTGACCCGATCAAGAAGCCGAAGGAACCCAAAAGGGATTGTGTGTGATGAACTATGCTACTTTTTGGTAACATGCGTGCAGTCTGATGCATTGTGAAAACACTTACTAAAACGTGGAGAATACCTGGGCATAGCCAAGGGAGTCATATCAAAAACACATATAGTCCTTGCGCTTGTTGTTTGTTCTGACTTCTTCCAAGGCGGCAGCGGTAAGCACCCAGGCACCCTTCGCTAGACCTGGGTTTCCTTCCCTTCATGAATTCTTCCTCTCCAGGGGCGGCCGGGCCTCGTCGACTCCGCTTGGCGGTGGAGCTTTTTTTTCATCCACCCCAAAACCAGACCCGCACTGTGTTGTCCTTGAGGCAAATTGCACCAAGCGGTCATTCTTCTTGTTATTGTCTTGACTGGATGTTAATAATTTTCGGATATGCCATCTTATGCTGCCAAATATCAATTAATCTATCTCTGTTATTCATGACAGTCTGACAAGAGCATAATCATTTTATTGCGCTATCAGCGATGAACAAACCCTCCTGCTCCTCGCCCAATCTTACTGAAACAGGACAGCATTACCATCTGGATATTGATCTTCATCAACTGCAGTGGTACACTTTCATGGCGGTCACCATCTCATGACAGGTACTGTCAATATCGGTACATGAGACTCCAATCCCACATCTGCACTGTGACCTCGCAGGTCGACTACAAGTATCCCTGGCTCTTTGTTCGTTCGCGGCACTGCGAACGCTCTCGAGGTGCTTGCTGCTGCTCTGTTGGGCGCTCCAGGCCTCTGTTATTCGTCTGCTGTTTCTGTCAGGGGCCACCTAACAACCCTGCCCATGTCACCCTCAGTGCGCGCCGTGTACCTGCACCAAAGGTGCACTTGTGCATGCATACAAAAGCGCTGCAAGCCCACGACAGATGGAGGAAGATGCAAGCGAGCAGTCTTGAGCAAGTGACATCAAGCGTCGAACCTAATGCATGTTGGAAAGACAACTCCATCATGTGAGAGAGACTCTCTTGCAATTATCTTCCCGATGCTCCATATCAATGATCTTCAATCCTCCCATGCCCAAACTCACCAAGCGCCTTTACCAGGGATGGCCTCCAGGTTTGAGAGCGGGGGAGGCGAACATCAAAGTGGAGGTCAAGGGATGAGTAACGGTTACAGTGGGCGGCACGATGTCTTGCGCACTTGCTCAATGGCCGCGACAATCTAACGGCCTTGGCGGTCGCGCATTCGAAAATCAAGTATCGATGGCCTTGGCCGGGCATCATAGATAACTACCACGAGAGTCGTTTTTTCGGACATTTGCCAAACTCTGAAGAGAAACTAGTTAGAAGTTGTTCACGCCATCAAACGCTGGAAACAGGAAGAGATCCCAGTCAATTAGCAACCGGCTGAGTTACAATAAGCATTGCTACCGTTTGGTGGTCAGCGGGCAGCTGCAGGTCAGGATTCGGATGATAACCGGCTGACCACTTTGAGAATACAATTCATAGGCCCGAGTCACCTTCAACCAGCAGGTATCTCTTATCGACGGCATGGCGGAACGTCTGTACCGGTCCAAGAGGTCAGCGACACATGAGCGGGAAAGCTTCACGGCCAAGGGAATCGACGATTTGTCTTGAACAAAGGTTTCTAGCGCAGCCTTCGCCTAGAAATTATCGTAAGATGCATGATCGATTTTGCATTTGTGTCGCTGTACATAGTTTTCGGTGATTTCTCTGCAACCCATACACAGCTGTACCTTGATCTGGTGTAAGTCAGAGGCCAATCATGTGCATTGAGAGACCAGGAGGCTGCTGTAGTAGGCAGCCACCAACGAACAGATCGATCTCAAGAAGGGGCGGGACCTAGATCAACGGTACCATCCATTGAAACACCACAACAACTAAAGTTAAGGTAGGGAGTTTAAACGACACGATAGTTTCCGCATGCAATAATCATGAATTCATATTACTATACGATAGTGCCGAGCCATCCGCCAACACGCCTTGTCAGAAACAAAGCAGGTTTGTATCTATCCACTCTCAACCTCACTAATTCACACCAACCGTGTAAAGTATCGTACAGGCGAGACATGGCTTGCATGATAAATCGGGGCGAGAACCAGTCGTTAACTGCTATGCGCCACAAAAGCCCTGAAAGATACAATACGATGCTGTATACAGTATGGCAGAGCGCGTATCTGTTGTGTTGTGTTAGGTATTTTGTCTTTGCGGGTTTTATTGAGTTCTTATCCGTTGCTTTTTCCTTCTTCCCCAGTTGACCTGAGATCTGTCCAGGATAAGCTGGCAGGCCACCTGGCTCATCGGCCTGACCAGGTCAGAGGTTACGAGGTCGAGAACACGACCACAACAAACCGATTCACCAAAACAATGACCCCAGGACTTATCAAGGTTAGTTAGGTTGTGATCTATCAACCAGGTTGCCAGGAGCCCTTGAAGATTACGTATTGCCCTTGTCCGAGCGCTCTGATTTACAGGCCAAAGAGTTCCGATTTTAGATCTTGACAGATGGGTCAGTCGACTGGCCCATTGTATCTCAACGGGAAAGTTGTTTGCCGAATTACTTGTTTTGCTGTTTGCATTTTCTCATTATACAGTGAAAGCCTTGGTCTTTGTAGTCCCAGCTTAACGCCATCCTCGCTACGCACGGGGCCAGGAACAGCCTTAATTCCCCTTGTCTATTCCCACACTGGTACCCGTACCTGAAAGTCATCCCTTGATTGAGACCTTGAAAGATGTGGCAGCTGATGACGGATGCGGTTGAGGCTGAGGCTGCTGCCCATCTGTGCAGGGGCACTTGTAAAAACACTTTGCCTCGTTCATCTGGGACGGGAGATTCACCAAGGCAACGGTATCAGACTGCAACCTCTGATTGGCTTTTGTTTTGATTTCCTGTCTAATTGCTTTTTGAAATTCACAGCACGTCAGACAAGCCGACGGGTTGATCATGGATCTGTCTCTATCATGGATGGTTTGTTTCAACAAACTCAATCCGGGTATTGACAGCTACCGAGCTTGAAATGACAGGCGCCCCTCCCGTGTAACGATGGCAACAATTTTCATCTCGAATTTTATTGCATTGGCAATCTATTGCTCTACGCGCTTATACACTGCTTCCCCAACAAAGGTTATCCTGGCCTGCCTGATAGTCATATTTAACGTCAGATCTACACCAATATCCGACGACACCGCTAAATCATGCACAGACTAAAATGATCGCAAGGTACTTGGCGCATCGGAAATATGGCTGAACTTGGTATAAACAAGACGGGACGGTTTTCAAGACTCAACAACGCCTAAATTAAGCATGGCGGAACAATTTAGACAAAACACAAGTTGCATCTGTTGATCGATGGTTGTCGTGACAATTGTGTGTTGGCAAACAAAGCAATTGCATGATATCTCAACTCTACAAACCTGCATGCATACATTGCCTGCCAAGGGCCAGTTTTGACACCTTGTAACATTGACTCCTCATGTCATGCCCAGACCTGGGGGGTTCATGGGCAGACACTCTCATGGAGCCAGGTCCACCAGCTAAGCCACTGTACAAGGATTCTCCCTCTTTCGAGCCTTCGAATTCCCCCGTTTTGCTCCACCGTGCACTCATTACCGGCCATTTTCACGGTCGAGAAAGAAAAAAAAAAAAAGAGGCTTGCAATTCCCATCTTAGGTCAGCCTGCCACCGTTCAGCTCGTCCACGAATAACCTCCCTCAGGCGCATCGCGATGAAATGAAGGCTTTCTTGTATGCATAAGCAATCTCGCCAACATCTCAACGAGGAAGCTATGTAATACCGTTCGACACGGGTGGCATTCCTATTATTATCTGCAACGGTAATAAGCCAATTTGCCCAGCTAATTACGATTTCCTCTTCATTCCGTCATGAGGCCCATCTCCCTGCGTTGCGGTGAAGGAGGCCTCGGGACGGATCCAATGTTGACAGGAGACAGGACAGATTCCCAAAAATATCTACCGTGTTTTTAATGGGGTTGAGGAATACCCGAATTTAGCACGCGATGGTTCATCGTCATTTCGTGGCCTTGGCTCTGGGCCCATGATAGACGGGATGTCATTTACGTAGGATTCGGCCACGATACCGAAGGAACATGGCCTAATCTGGCCTCTAACCCGCATCAGTCGTGTCCCACTATGACATTGTAGTGTCATGGGTGTTGATTACGATGAGCCCGATTAATCCTCGCATTATTGGTGTTCATCCATACTCTTTCATGGCATGTTCTTGGTTGAAGACTTGTGATGGACGCGTCCTTCGAAGTGTCTCTCCAAAGACTCCACATAGTAATGTCTCTGCCTTTCGGAAATGTCTCTGTAATCTAATGCATGCATTTGCAATAATGTTAATTAATCTAATTACATAGTAAGCACCATTGAAGTGCGTAGGTCAACAACTTGCTTCTGGCCAGTGATAGGCTCATGGTTTGGCCGAGGCTATCTCCCTTAATGCATACTCATACGGTTGGCCCCCTTTCATACAAATGCCTGACATGAACGTAAACGAACATGTAGTTGGCAATACGAACAGTCATTACCCCTGCTCCAATCACATCACTTGATCAGCGTCTTAACGGTTAGCTTCCATGCATCGAAGTCAAAGCCACCTGCGAGAAACTGCAAACTAGAAATCCTTGTAAACCTTGAAGACCATCAGAATGGCTAGGGGAGTTGAGAAAAATCCGAGGCCTCGATCTTGAGTGACAAAAATACTTGGGTGACCATAGAATATAAGGTTTAGGAGTTTTGACTGGTTATTATTAGCCCTTTCACTGAAGGTCTCGGGTCTTTTTGCTCCCCTAGAAACTGGATCTGAGGCTTACAAGTCCGCAGCTGAAAGACGTAGCCAATAGCGTAGATCCTCCCTCGACTGACAGCTAAGCAGGGACGGGATGGCGCATTATTGGAAGACTCGTCAGCGCCGAAGAAAGACAGTCAAACTATTGAATGGAGCAAAGAATAGCCGAGCCGAGGCGAGCTCAACCTTTGATTATTATTAGGAGCTCATCTGAAGGGGCCAGAAGTCTTCAGATCGTGAAACAAAAGCACCAAGCGACGTGACAAGATCGCCCCTTATCTGCCCCTGAATTAAAGTGTGGGGAGCTACCTGGACCCTGGGTTTGAGCCACAGTTCTGGACCAAGTGTGGAGGCGCACAGCCACAGCTTTATCATGACTCTCACCGCCTCTGAGATAGTGCCCCGCTGCAACATTTTTTGACTGGCAGAAAAATTGGTGAAGCGCGCAAGATCGCTCAAACGACACGCCTTAGTATCAAAGACAGATACACAGCAACAGTATGTCTGATACGGAGAAAACAAACCTGACTCCCGCTCCTGCGGCGGAGAAGACTCTTGGCATGCGCAAGAATGGTAACATCACCTCCCAGCATTGGTTGTATATGAATACACCAAGCTAACTGCTCTGTAGGCAAGCAATGGCATGCCCCCAAGAAGGCCTTCCGACCTACCGCTGGCTTGAAGTCATATGAGAAGCGAACGCAAGAGCGTGCTCTCATGGCGCAAGTCAAGGCCAAGGAGAAGGAGATGAAGGACGAGAAGGAACAGGAGCGCCAGGTAGGCCCAGATTCTCCTCACATTAGACGAGACATGATCTAAATTAAGAAACAGCGCAAGATTGCAGCCATTAAGGAGAAGCGAGCAAAGAAGGAGGAGGCTGAGCGATACGAGAAGATGGCCGAGAAAATGCACAAGAAGCGAGTCGAGCGACTAAAGCGCAAGGAGAAGCGAAATAAGCTGATCAACTCATGATCGCGGGATGGTTTTGGTGGTTTAAATTTGATTGGAGCAGACATATATCGACAGCATTATGATTTACGATGCGGTATACCTCAGACTACAACTTGCGACGGAAAGATTAGGTTAGACAATACGGGAGCAGCACAATATACCTGGGCGTTGGAATATGCGATCAAATCTTGGCGGATCAATTACCAGGTTCTCCGGCCATCGAGTGGTTATTCGTCTTCGTGTAATTAAAGGTTTCTAAATCTAATATGTATCATCGATTCATAAACCGGCTGGTTCGGGACTGAGTCGAGCTCTAACTGAGATTCATTTGCTGTAGGAGAGCCAACCGATATCTTCGAAAGACAGCAAGTGACATGAGGTCCACAGATCTAAAACGTCGAGTTGACGAAACCAACAAACGTGAATATTCTAGTAGAGCCATCTACTGGTTTCTTTGGGGATTTTGGTCTTAGTTAAAGACCTCCGTTGTGGATATCGTGGTGACTATGACACCATTCTGAGCTTGACAAACCGATGGCACTTGCCACAACATTCGAGCTGCTTTAAATATCACGAAAGGAAAGACTACATGTGACTACGAGTATCTGATACCATTGAAAACGTATTCGGATACTATCTGCAGCTTATGTGGAGATGTTTCGATCTTTGTATGCATCTACATTCAAGTGACATGTGAAACTGCCGGTTTGCAGGGGTCCACTAAACCACCCCCGAAGTTGACCATTCGACGATCGCCTGATGCAACCACCCAACAAACCTGGAATTCTACTGCTTCAAGCCCTCTTTTGGGTAACCCACCCATCCATGCGTCACAGGGTCCAGTCATAGAGTTTTTCTCAAGACCTACAGTACGGTCACTATAGCTGCAGGCAGGACGAATCGGGATCAGCCACACTACCAACGGGGATATACCGCTCACGCCATGGCCTCAGCAGGCTTTACGAGTCCCCGAGACTCTACAAACTCAGTCTCCAGTGTTCGTTCGAGCAGCCGACATCAGTTAAAACGATCCATCACCGAGCTCGCGTCGCCCGTGAAGCTCGGCCGTCGAGAGAAGAAAGAACGCGATCGATATAATGAGGACCGCGCCGTGCATGCGCACCACATCTCAATCTCCCATCCCGTGTCCGCGAACCCGCAATATCAAGGCAGAGCATCAGTAGACATTATGACACGCTCGGAAGGCGTCACGCCGTACATGAGCCCCGATCAGAGTCGGAGGCCAAGCTTGATGCTTTCGAGAGAGGAGGAGAACAAAGCTCTCAACGTCCCTGCTCCGCCGGAACCCAAGACCAAGGAGAAGATACTGGAAGATCAGGCTAAGACGTCCTCGCAGGTCGAGTAAGATACTACATATACCCTTATCCAGTGCTATATAGCTGACGCATTCATAGGGGCCTGAAGCAATCACTGGTCGAACTAGGATCCTTCTCTACGTCCACAGCCCGGCGACTTGACGAGACATACTACGCGGTTCTTGAGAAGATGAGTACACTCCAGTCAACTGTTTCCGCCTTGAAGGAGTTGGCGGAGGAGTCTCAGAGCATCCATCGAAATTTTGAGAAGGACGCTTGTGAAATTGAAAACGATATTACATCACAGATTGCAGCAATGGGCCAGTTCAAGGAGCACCAGGAGAACATCGAATCACTCACGACCCGTGTCCAAGATGGCCGCGCAAGGATTCGCGCTCTTAGTGATCGAGTCGATATTGTCCGAGAGCAAGTTGAGCTCTGGGAGCGTCTGGACAAGGAGTCTCAGGACAAGACACGATTGAGGTTGAGAGCTATCATTATATGCATCACGGTTGTGTTCCTTGCAGTGGTGGTTCTGTTCTTTGGTGCTCAGTATGTCTCAAGACATAGTTCACTCTTGGGTGGTGATAACTCGAGCACACCTCGTGTTGCAGAGTCTATCATCCAGTCACATAAGGGAGCAGCACATCCATCATTGTCTCTTCGAAGACCTGAGAAGAGCGGTGTTCCATATTCGAAGAGGAAACAGGTGCATACACATGCAGAGGAGGAGCTTCGCGTTTTTGATGAACTGTGAAATTGTTGGTTCTCACATTAATTGCTTTCATTCGATACCCATCACAGCGCGCACATCGCATAACTCATTTATTCCCTTTGTACTGGCGGGATTTTAACAGATAGTTGATTCACATCGAGATTGTTCTTCAATAAAGCACTACCTCAATATCGATGCATCGTTCGGTTCATGGATAAAGCCAACTATGGGATCGGTCAACTTACCCTACATCAGTCATAAGAAGTCTTGCAAAGTGTTTCGACTCAATCCATAATAACACTGAAGCCAGTTCTGTAAGCGGCCATTGCAAGCATCATAGATAATGGTGGCATGCGATCATTGATGCGTAGAGATGAGGCACCTGGCATGTTTGTATTGCTTAAACTACTGAAAATCTCACGTCTGTCCTCACTCACTAAATGTCTGTAGAGATGTCAAATCTGACATTTGTCTCGCTGACTCTTATTCTAAGGGTTTGATATAATTTACGATGCTAATGATACCTAGTATCTAGTACTCTTGTTAGGAACATTTCCGTCTTTCCTGTTCAAGCCAACGACTCCTGCGCCGAGCCGCTGCCGGCGCCACACTTCGGAGCCTCCGTGTCACGTTTCCCCACCGCCGAGCCGTGTCCCGGAGTCAGTCCCCCAATTGCCTGGTACAGCTCTGCTTTGACCCAAATTGCCAAGGATTAGAGACTCGAATCGGTTGACCAAGGCCGAACGTTCTCCGTGAAACCGTGCTGAGCCCAGAACCTAGACGGAGCGTTGAGCTTCTTTCTGACTTTATTTACTGAAGGGAGGGCTACCCTACGCCATCGAAATTAACAGGAAGACAAAACATAAGAGCCTCCCAGGGCTGTGACATATCGTAAATAATGTCCGGAACGTTCCCATTTAGCAACTCATGTGAGGTGCTGGCCAATAAAGCACAGACTCGGCATTGCGTAACTCATCGTGGCGGGGCAAAAGAATCTCTCTCTAATTCCCCATTCTGGTATACATTTTAATGATTGGCTTACTCGTAAGAAATGCCCAATCTCTTATTTTTTCGCGGCGTAATCCCGTGCTTGGTCAAAGTTCTCAGCAGCCACAATGTCAACACACATAGAGTGGATATCACCGTGGCCAGCGTGGCTTGTATTCATCGAGGTCGAAATGAGACTGATATTCGGATCAACAAACAGGATCGGCTGCCTGTTTTAGATGCCGAACGGGCTGATCAAACGAGATGAGTCGTCGTCACTGTAGTGCTGACAGTTTTTGGCAGCGGATAATCAAGAAACTGCGAGTCTATGAAGCTAGAGAACTCCTTACAACAAAGACAAGTCGGGAGTTGCTTGGCATCAGTCTATAGATCGTAGGAAAGCCCCCTTCGTATTGATAATAATTCATCACTAAAATGTCTGTTCAGCCTTACATTAGGCGCCCTGGACCATTGACTATACCAAAAACTAAATAGCCGTTACATTAGTTTGATATCAAAAAAGTTTGACTGTCATGCCGGGCATCCATAGCACGGCAAAAAGGACCCGATAAAGCAGGGTTGTGAGAGTCTGGGCGAGTGGCTTGGTACTTGGCAACACACGTCATGCCCCTCGCTTTGGCGCTTATTACACGCAAGTGCCCAGCGTGAGGAGTACCTTAAAAAGGTTGAGGTCTATAATGCAAAGAAAGAAAAGTTCCACCATTTGAGGTTCTGTTTCTTTGACCGTTCTGTTCGTGATACCCCGAAGAAAAGACGCTGATGTGAGTCCCTATCAACAGCCGACAACATTACGTAGCTGCGCTCCATAAGGCACTTTTTAGCGTACTAACGAAGCTTACTGCAGCTTTGCCCCGCCAAACGAAAGGCAGTCCAGCCCAGACCAAACCAACAATATTCCGGACGTTCTTCTGACGCAAAACTACCCCAACTTCGCCAAGTGTTCTACATACATCGATATCAATTTATAACAGATATTGATAGCGGCCGACCTTCTGAACCGTGAAATACTTCTCTTCCCTACAAGACCTACACGAAAAGCTCTCTATAATCGACTGTTGCGCAACAGACATGGCTGCTGAGGCCGGAGATACGCCCGCAGTTGTTGAGGATGCTACTGCGAATCCTCCATCTACCGTTGACCTCCCAGTGCGATCAAAGCAAGATGCTACGCCGCCACCAGGCCAGACGCTGACTGGCAAGCAAGAACATTGTAAGTGTTGCAATGCGCATTGATTTGAGATCAAAGGCGATGTAATAGATGCTGATATATGCTTTTACATATTAGACCTCAAGAGAGAGCTTATTTCGGAGCAGGTAAAGTGGGAAATAAACGAACTCAACTCTACCACCGCCCTCCAGCGCTTCGGCGCGCCATTTCGATCCGATCACGGTGAAGTCCCCCCTGAGGAGTCCGAATTGCCCATTCTGCGATACATCTTCGTCCACCATGTTCGCGACTTTCCCTTCCTTGATAAGGCGCGCGAGAAGGAGTTCTGGCAGGACAAGCTTCAAGTGGTGAGTAATGATGATGCGATTTGCCCATGGTCGATCTGACGCTAATGGACTATAGTTCCTCGAGTCGTTCGCAGGAAAGCAGATTTCATCGTCGGAGGATCGCCTAGAGGAGACGAAGCGACGAAAACTAGCCATCAAGGCTAGGAAGCTTGTTGAGCTAATGATGGTCTCTGGAATTGGAACATCATCAGGATTCGAGGAGCGCATTCGATTTTCAGAGATTGAGATTGTTGACAGCAATGCTATCGACACCGGTGTCATGCATACTCTACCTGAGGGCAACTATATTAATGGTTGGGATGTCAATGTCGCTGGCGTGCGAGTCACCCAAGTCAAGCGTACGATCCGAAAGCACAAACACGCCGAATTTATCCTGCGCATCAAGAAGAAGGGTGAATTGGAGCACTATGTTGGACGAAGATACAGCGACTTTGCCAAACTTCATAGCCGATTGCGACAAGAGCTTCCTGGTCGAGTTGTACCAGAAATGCCCAAGAAGAACAAGTCAGATACTACAACAACGATCGCCTTTACATCCATGTTCAGCAATGGAAACGAATCAGATGCTTCCTCTATTTCTTCAGTTTCGACAAGACCCAATGGCTATTCATCTATGTTGACGCCTGGTATGATCCACCCCATCTTTATTGGTTTACTTATGCTAACGCTATGAAGGTCACCGTAGGGCTGGGTCTGCGGCATCATTCAGATCGAATCGATCCAAAGGGCTCAATTCCCCTAGAATTCCATCTCCTCGCGTGTCTACTGAGGGGGGAAGACTTAGCCCTGCTGTCCGCCAGGATTCGGATAAGTCAGATAAGTCAGAGGTATGAGTGAGGCAGTACATGACTTCTACAGCCAACTAACAAGATACATAGACTGTTGTTCTATGGCGTGAAAACCAAAGAATTTCACTTAGGGCGTTCTTGCGATCTGTACTCCACAACCCCCAATTTG